TTGATTGCCATGATTTTACATGGTTCAAGATTACATTAACAAAATTACAAATGGATGGAATATTTTTTAAAAATAAATTTCGATCATAAATCTTGATTTGGATTATTTAAACAACACTTTAAAAGAATAGCTTAAGTAGTAACATGAACGAATTATAAATTCAAATATTCTGAATTCGAATATTAGCAATCTTTTGGAGTCGAATAATGAGGAATTTATCCCTCATGAATATCCTAGTTTCGGCGTGGATAACTTGTATTTGGCCAGACTAATGCGGAGATTCGTTTACAATGCATGTAAATTGACCAGAACACCCAGGATTGATGAACAAAAAAAAATTATTTAAACCCATTGAATTTTGAAATAATAAAATATTTCACATATCAACTTAAAATTACATGGGATAAAATATGACGCAATTTGTTAGTAAGATACTAAATTAAAAAGTTTGAGTCTTTTATAATTTATCGATTTCGTAAACGAGTGAACCCAATTCTTAAATGTGTAGACAGCCTTGGGTTCAAACCACGAGAAATAAATCTCTCACGAATATTATAATATCATCATAAATAATTTGTCTTTAATCAAATAAAAAAAAAATTAATTGAAATATGTGTAAGATGATTGAGATAACTTTAACGTTAAACAAAAATATAAATATAAATTAAAAGCACAGACGTGGCATGACGTTTCAGACTATCCCCTTCACAGAGGTCAGAAAATAAAGGAGGGGGAGTTGTCTCATTTTGTGTGTGAGTAAGCACCACCAAACAGTCCCTGAAACTTAGCACACAAAAGGCAAGTTATGTTGCCAAGGCAGACAATTACTACATACAAAAACCTCTGTATTTTCAAAGAGGACAACAAGCCTGCATTACTCTTACTTAAAAACGGATCATATTACAAATTCATTTACTCTCAAAATTTTTACTTATTCATTCGTAGTAATCGTGGATCACAAAAATAAATTTATACATGTCACATTTTAATTAAATTTTAAAAATATAACAGCAAAAAAAATTACACTTTGGTAATATAGTTGAAGTCTTTTGTTGCAGAATCAAAGTCTAAATGCCGAGAAAATATTCAGAAAGGTATCAAATGATAATGTTATATGGTGTTTACCCTAATGAAAAATTATCACAATTTTTCCTTGTCAGACCGACGTGTCCTCTTTCTCAGATTCAATCACCCTTATTTTTTAGATGTGTTCTTAAATTACCTTGAGTTATAGTGATTGCTTTAAAATTTGTAGGAGTAATTGGCATAAACATGAACACGCTGTAGCCAAAAAAAAAAAACCAATAAATTGATTATTATTTAAAAAAAAATTGAATATTTGGTAAGTAACAACAATTAACGACAGTGGGATATGGTGCTGGCGACCACAGAATATTTTCTCAAAAAGCCTTGGGCATAACAGGGTATTGTACCAGTGCTGTAAGCAGAAGAGCAAATGGCCCATTAAATGGAATGCCCATTTGAGATTGACCTGACAAAGCAGACCCCACTATTCTGAAACTGTAAGGAATAATTATTACATAAGACATGAAAATTAAGGTACTGTGCTCTGTATTTACATGTATTTTGACATTTTCACAGAGAGACAAAGGGAACAGTCAATAAAGTTGGGCTTGTAGGAAAAGACCCATTTGGAGCTAAGTTCCTAGGGTTTTGTGTGTGTTCTTTCTCTTTCACTCTGTCTAAAGCATACATGGAGGGAGAGAGAGAGAGAGAGTGGTTTTGAATTGGTGAGGATAGTTTTCATTTTGGAAATTATTTAAAACCCCTTAGCTATGACTTTGGTATAAGTTTTTGGGTAAAATAATCTTTAAAACTGTAATTGTATGCATACACATACAAAAAATGATCCGTCTTTCTCTTTTTCACCGCTTATAATATTTGTGGATACCAGCTGGTGAGAACTCTAGCATGTCTGTACTATTAGATTTCAAGCAAAGCACTCATGTAACCCACTTTTTGGCAACCAAACCCACCACCTTGGACCACCACCAACAGATACAACAATAACAAGCACATCCCCACCACCACCACAAAACGACTAGGTTTCTACCTAAATTGAAGAAGTGAACAATGCATCTTCATACTCATAATTTTCATCACAAAAGGGAATTATGTATGGATATGTTAAAGGATGTGGGCACTTCTTACAAACATATGCTAATTTTGTGTGACAAAAGAAAAAAGTCACAAAAATATGGGGTACAATCATGTATCACCTGTGTATGTATTGCATTATAAATACAAAGATAAATTATAATTTATACCCTCAAAGAATAAACTTATTTCTTATTTGATCATTGAAGTTTCAATTGTAATAATCAAGTCTTTAGAGTTTTAATTGAGATTCAATTTAGTTCTTATATTAATTCACCAATTTATTATGACGGAATGGTCTTCCGTGTCCGACATGTGACTTGAGTAAATAGATATATTTGTGATGAAAAATTTGTTACGCTTAGGCTTAAAAAACCTTATTTTATTTCATCTAATTTTGGGATAAAAAAAATAACAAACCCAAAAAAGAGGTATTGTAAGACAAAGAGAGAAATATCGATGTATTTAAAAGAGATATTTTTTACTAAACAAATATTCTCTTATGAGCAAGTCTTGTGACGTCTTTCTGTAGTAATAAATTAATAGATCTGAATGGAAGGGCTGGATTGAAACTTAGTTAAAAATGTAATAAAGTAATTGAATCAATTGAAATTTTAAAGACCAAATAAAAATTTATGTCCATACTTTAAAGGTGTAAATTATAAATTACCAAATATACAAACTCTCATTATTCATCATTTCCCTACATTTTTTTTTTTTTTTTTTTTTTTACCATGGACTCTACATTAATTCACGAAGTTGTCTACGGTACCGAAAAAAATTCAACATTGTACCTCCATCTACCACATTTGTGGATAAATTTATTACTATTTTTTTTTCCTTATTTTTACCACTTTTGTGAGTGTCTTTATCACTATTATTGTATCGAAAAAAGTGATACAAATAATTACCACAATAGTGGTAAAAATATCCATAAAAATGTGATAAAAAAAGTTTGTATAAAATAATATAAATAGTTATCACAACAATGATAAAAATATTCATCATAGTAGTAAAAACATCCACAAAAATAATAAATTACACAAAAAAAAATTTTGATCGTAAAATAACTCAGAAAAATTATAAAAATACTGGTAAATTTTAAAAGTATGGTACCAAACTTTTTTAGTCCACACCGTAGTCAATGACACATCAACCCCATCTTTAAATTAACAACCAAACATACCCTCAACCTTTATTACATGCTGAAACCAAACTGTGTATAAATAGCTGCACCATCTGCCTCCTCTTTGTCATTGCACTTGTGAGAGTCCACCAGTGAGAGTCCACCAACCCAACCCTAATAACCATTCCCCCACTTTTCCTGTCCTAGCCATGGTTCCGTTAGTTAACGGACCACTGATCTTCACGGCCATGGCTTGTCTAGATCAAGGTGATGTTGTGAGAGAAGAAGAGAGAATGTAAAACTGGGCATGGCGATATCTCTCCTGAGCTTACTCTTCTTACATCCATTCTTTCTTTCTTTGAGTTCCATCAAAATTGTTCACTTTTTCTTGACCTTGCAAGCCCGGACCATACTATACACCCTTCACGGTGCTCTAGGTGCAAGATTTTCAGTGACGGTTCGTGGACGTTCTTCCCTCTCTTCTATCCCTCCTGAGCTTGCTTTTCCTACCCATGTTGGGTTTGTTTTCATGGAAGATGTGCTTTTTTGTGAGTTCTGCTTGGAAGTTGGAACACATTCCAAACAGATATAAGGAATAAAATTGGCTAGTTGTTTTGGTTATGTGTGTGTGTGTTTCTAGTGTGAAGAAATATTGGGGACAAGGCCTACATGGTAATGGCCAGTTGATGGCAAACCCCATGAAACCGTGTGTATTATGTGTTGAGCAAGTTCTCATAAATTGACTTATTTGGCGGATGTTAATGGAATAATGCTCGTGGAATGATAGAAAAATTTTATTCTTCCAACTAGTGTAACTTTTTTGTTAGTGGAAAAATTTTACTTTCTTCGATCTATTAGAATGGTATTTGCTTAGATCGGTACCATTTTTAAGCAATATGAGATTTATAATGCAACGATAAGATCAATTACGTTTTTTTTTTTGTGGATGATAAATGATAGTATTTATAATATAAATTATGACCACCAACATTTCTATCAAAATCATTTATATTATATCATACCAGCACATATTGCCCCCAATTCTTTTCATATAGTTGGAGTCATTGGTTCAAATTCAATTATGGGTAAAACTTATTAAATATCACCTTCTCATTCTTATTAATTCTCTAAAAATAAGCTTACTAGCAACTTGCAAGAATCCCACTTACTAGACTTTACAAATGAATTCTTTTTTTTTTTTTTTCAACAATTAAGAAATATTTGAACCAATTTACGTACATCTCAATTGATCCATTTTCTTGTTTAATTAAAGGCAAGTCATCAATACCAAGACTTGGGCTTATAGATGAAGTTGACTTGGTCAGGAAAAAGTAAAATAGAATTGAATATCTTAAATTTGAATTTGGGAACAGGGTGAAATTTGGGTTTTAGATAAAACAAAAACTAGGAATAGAGAGAGATTGTGCGGATGGAAAAACCTGAGACATCCATAGATCATGATCATCATCCTAAAACAACAATCTCTATATGATAGTTGTAGGCTTTACCAAAAAATTGACCTGGCAAATAATAGATTTTCCAAGAGCCAGTCGTCATCGGGCATGTGCATTTATCTCGAACATAGTTGCCCGATGAGAATGATTCTGGCAACAAACTGGTACGCCTCGTGGCGTATTGTTGGATCATGTGGCTGCATATTTCCTGTGAATTTTGGTACAACTTCAGACAATCAATTGGCATTGCTGATCGGGAAGTTCCTAAATATTTCGCTTTTTTTTTTTTTTGTTGGGGGGGTGAGGAATCCTATACTAATCACCATCTGTGAACAGTTTTGTACACGTTTGTCTATAATCGGCAGTGATGAGTTCAATTTCTGAAACAATGGCCTCGCCACTCGTGAATAGCTCTCCAGTATCATGTACAGAACAACAATCGAGTTTAGAAATGGAGCAACGAGGTATTTCTATTCTCCCTATAATTTACAATTCAGGCTGCGAGGACAAGCACTTTGATTGTCCCTTGACTGTTAGCAGCTAACACTGTGGGGCTGTCACTCTTCCAGCATACAGCACTAATGAAGTAAGATCCGGCATCTTCATCCGCATCATCCAAATCTGGTGAACTAAATCTATGCCAAGTCACGGGTTTAGGGATTGCCTGTAGTCCAAACCCGAATTTCCAGTTAGAACTTAGAATTAGTTTCCAAATGCATATTGATGGCAGTATGTAACATTGCTAACCTTATGGTAGACAAAAACTTCGTTTGTTTCACTGCCACAGGCAATGAATTCACTTGTTACCGTGAGACCAACAAAATTCTTCTCATTCGTATGGCCTCTGAAAGTACGAACCTGGAAACAAACTCTTTCAGGTGTTAATCGACAAAACTTCAACATATTACTCAATAAGCAACTCAAGCAGATAGTAATATATTATGCTGCTACTCACAGCAATGGGCAAACAAAGTGGTAGATAAAGATAGCAAATAAAAGGAAATATCTTCTTAAACATGTAACTCACCGGCAAGTTTTCCTTCACATCCCATAGTCGTAAAGTGCTGTCTGTCGATGCAGAAGCAAGCTCATTGTTAGACAAGAACTTCACATATGAAACAGTTTTTCTGTGCCCACTAAACACATGGAGTGGCTGGCTGGTGTTTCTTAAATCATAATAATGGATGTGATGGTCTGCAGAACCGACCTGGGAAAATGTGAGGAACAACATATTATAAGGCTCTGTATATTCCACAGGAAGAGGAAAGAGGGAATTGTAAGTGTGCATGCAATTCACTGAAGAAGTGTATCAGAGTGATGGTAATGCTTTCAAACTCAAATATTTGCATGAGAAAGCCACTTTCTGTGATTTCGTGGAAGTGCAGAATAAGTGAGTACATTTGAGTTCCTGCAAAAACAATATAACTATGGCAGTGTTCCAATGCCTTCTTAAAATTCACCTTGCATCGACCTTTCATGTACACAACTTGTAACTGACAATGTAAAAGATAAAATGTGCTTGTACGTGCACGTCCAAAAGGCACTCAAAATGATTACCATAAGTGCCCCAGACAAAAAAAATAGTCTTCAATTGAGGTCGGAAGTGATGCATTTGCACCAGTTTAGTGGCAAGAAACAAGGACAATGGTGGACCCCCCATAAGCATCAAGATCTAAAAAGTTCAAGCAAGTTTGAAGGCAAAAAAACCATGATAAATTCCCCTCACTCGGCCCTCTCCCCCCAACATAACAAAAAACATAAAAGAAAATCAAAGAGAATAGAGGGTTGACAGCATAGGAGATTACCGCAACATGTACACTAGACCCGGGATTATACTTGACACAACATATATTTGCCCTCATCTCAATATTAATAACGCTAGCCTCCTGCTTTGTGCACCATACTTTCACCTGTAGTTGCAGGGAGAACTATCGTTACATAGATGGAAAAGAAATCAAAGCTCATACAAGGGCAAAGGATTCCCAGCAGATATGGAAAGTGGCAAACCCAAATAGGCAGCAGCAGATATGAAGTGCACAAAAACTTTACATACTCTGAGAATCTAACTTCGCTTAAATACAACTTGCATGTTAGTATTNCAAAAACTTCGTTTGTTTCACTGCCACAGGCAATGAATTCACTTGTTACCGTGAGACCAACAAAATTCTTCTCATTCGTATGGCCTCTGAAAGTACGAACCTGGAAACAAACTCTTTCAGGTGTTAATCGACAAAACTTCAACATATTACTCAATAAGCAACTCAAGCAGATAGTAATATATTATGCTGCTACTCACAGCAATGGGCAAACAAAGTGGTAGATAAAGATAGCAAATAAAAGGAAATATCTTCTTAAACATGTAACTCACCGGCAAGTTTTCCTTCACATCCCATAGTCGTAAAGTGCTGTCTGTCGATGCAGAAGCAAGCTCATTGTTAGACAAGAACTTCACATATGAAACAGTTTTTCTGTGCCCACTAAACACATGGAGTGGCTGGCTGGTGTTTCTTAAATCATAATAATGGATGTGATGGTCTGCAGAACCGACCTGGGAAAATGTGAGGAACAACATATTATAAGGCTCTGTATATTCCACAGGAAGAGGAAAGAGGGAATTGTAAGTGTGCATGCAATTCACTGAAGAAGTGTATCAGAGTGATGGTAATGCTTTCAAACTCAAATATTTGCATGAGAAAGCCACTTTCTGTGATTTCGTGGAAGTGCAGAATAAGTGAGTACATTTGAGTTCCTGCAAAAACAATATAACTATGGCAGTGTTCCAATGCCTTCTTAAAATTCACCTTGCATCGACCTTTCATGTACACAACTTGTAACTGACAATGTAAAAGATAAAATGTGCTTGTACGTGCACGTCCAAAAGGCACTCAAAATGATTACCATAAGTGCCCCAGACAAAAAAAATAGTCTTCAATTGAGGTCGGAAGTGATGCATTTGCACCAGTTTAGTGGCAAGAAACAAGGACAATGGTGGACCCCCCATAAGCATCAAGATCTAAAAAGTTCAAGCAAGTTTGAAGGCAAAAAAACCATGATAAATTCCCCTCACTCGGCCCTCTCCCCCCAACATAACAAAAAACATAAAAGAAAATCAAAGAGAATAGAGGGTTGACAGCATAGGAGATTACCGCAACATGTACACTAGACCCGGGATTATACTTGACACAACATATATTTGCCCTCATCTCAATATTAATAACGCTAGCCTCCTGCTTTGTGCACCATACTTTCACCTGTAGTTGCAGGGAGAACTATCGTTACATAGATGGAAAAGAAATCAAAGCTCATACAAGGGCAAAGGATTCCCAGCAGATATGGAAAGTGGCAAACCCAAATAGGCAGCAGCAGATATGAAGTGCACAAAAACTTTACATACTCTGAGAATCTAACTTCGCTTAAATACAACTTGCATGTTAGTATTTAATTCGTTATTCAACACCAATTAATTTTGTTACTTAAAAACCGAAAAAAAAAAAATAAACACAACCACCACCAAACAGGGGGGCGCATAGCAAAGTTGGTAAACATAATTGTTGGGTGGCAGCCTGTTACTTCAACCGTTCTCAAATACAATTTGAATATATTCATGTCAATTAGGACACTAAATACATTGGGAATGTACTGCATGGATTGCCAGCAAACAATGAACGATTTCATATCTGAATTTTTGTTCAATGGCTGCAGCTCTCCCTAGATCCGCCTAATCTCTCATCTTTTCCATAAAAGAAACTCCAACTGAGCTTATTGATTTCATTCTGGATTGACTATAATGTATAGGTCGACTATCATCCACTTCCTTTGACCAAGATAAATCATGGCAAGATCTCTATAAATTTCAAACAATCTAGAAGAAATAAAATTTCCTTGACAAAAGGATCATACACAATTTCTATTAAGTCCCCTCCTTCCAGAAGACCTGGGCTCCCAGGAAAGTGGCATTTTTCACAGGATGGTGGTTCGGGAGGCTATTCTTATGGGAGATGAGTAGAGGAGAGGATGGATCCATGTTAATTGGTGCTATATAAGCAAGGGCTCAAGAGAAAGAGCAGACACGTATCACTTCCTCTAGGTATTGTTAGTGTGTTGCATGCCATTTTCTTTACGGTGTTGCATGGGAAATGGGTTATGCCAAAACTGAGGGTTCTGGCCTTTACTTGATAGGGCTCCTTCCCATCTATCTCGACCGGGAAAAGGAGGGTGGTCATGTAAACGGCTTGACGGAGTTGGGTATGGTAGGGAAGTAGGGCAGTCATGGAGAACAGACCCACTTGTGCATTATGTGGTTGACGTGGATTGAGAGGAAGAGGATGGCATACAAGGGGTGGAAATACCTATTATCAAGTTGAAACCCTTGATGTCCTGTTTTTCACTTTATAATGGGGGTAGAATCTTTCCTTTCTTTTTTTATTTCTAGATGTACAAAATTGAGGCTTTATAACATCACAAGTACTGGGGTTGCCTCCAGCCCACCCTTTTGTTGCTTGTGGTCGATATGTGTTTACTTATTGAAGAAAACTGCATAGAAATCATATCATTTATCTTGTCGAAGTCTAGCATCTTCTAGGTAGCGACTTAAAGTAACAAAAAGAAACAGCTTATGCGTGTGATAAAAAGGATTATAATGTAATGACTCCACAAGTGTGATAATTCCCCCCCAAAAAAAAAAACACTAGATGCATGTCCATTTTAATTCCCACTTGTTTTCTTAATTAAAACCACATGAGCATAACTTACAAAAAATGCTAATAAGATTTCCCTTAGTACCTTACAATCATCACTACCAGATACAAGCATCGATGGTTCCATGCGTGAAAAATCAACACTCCATGCCCGCTTTTCATGCTCCTCATATTCCATCACACTCTGAATGCCACAAAAGATAATAAATTTGCAGCACCTATTGGTATATGGCAAGTCAAAGATCAAATTTATAAGAATGGAAACTAACAGCAAAGTTTCCAAAATCACCTGCCGTGTAGTAACATCCCAAACAGTTACAATTCCCTCATAATCACTACTAGCTATGTGGTTCTTAGTAAACTTGTTCCAACTTAAGCAACTCAGTTTGGATCTTGTTGACATCTCCAAAACAGGGCAGTGCACTTCAGCGGGTTCATTTACAACCTGAAAGCAATTGGGACTGGCATCAATGAACAATGCAGTTAAAGAGGAAAACACTTTTTACCTTTGAGGAGAAACATTAGTTTGTTTTGTGGCTAAAGAGAATATACCCAAAGAACATATGCAGACACCAGCAAGTCACTAAAAGACAAGGGAGATATCCAGTTATCAATTTTTTTTATGAGAATTACCACATCTTTTATGTGGACCAAGCAACTTTCCCCTAATTACACACTTACGTTGGAATATGTTTCATTGTCAATCAGTATTAGAGGTTATCCTTATCACTATATCACAGATAATATAAATAACAGAATACAACAAATAGAACCCTAAGTGCTCTATTCCACAGCCACATACACTCGCTCTGTCCTTCCATTCTTCTTCCTCCTCTCCTTTCTTGATTATCAGTTCCTACTACAATTCTTACCTTCATTGGCAGCCAAGTACAAAAAGTCAAGACATACATTAGCCACTTATTATACAAGAGGAGAAATACTGAGGAATTATATCAGTAATGAAAGCCATCACTCTCTCTAGATGGTGGTAAACAATATCAAATGCGTTCTGAAAAACAAGCTAAAGTGTTATGGCATGCCATGACAACTGCATCAAAGCATATGGTCCTGTTCACTCTTGAATCTTAATCAACCATTAAGTCTACTCATGCTTGACTGCCATAAAGTCTCCTCAAATAAACAAGGTAACCAGCTGAAATCAAGAGCTTACCGAGGAGAAGTCAAAAACCTTTATCCGCCGAGAAACTCCAGCTGTAGCAAACAATTCATCATCGCGATCAAATTCAATGCTGCAATAACACAGGAATAATTGATTGAACAAACTCTACTTTAATAGTTTGGGAAGTCCAATGAAGCAAGAGAAATGAAGGGAGAGCTCGTAATAAAGAAAATATTACATCCGGGAATCTGAAAGAAACTACCTTTCTCCACAAAATATGAAGTATGACAATCAAACCACCATATAACCAACATAAGTTTTAGTTGTAAGAGTTATATTTGAGCAACTAGAAGAGTTCAGTTTCAAAGATCAACTGGCATGGCATACCTTCAATCTTCAACTTGCAGAATTCAACAATCCATTAAGATTACATACTTATTATGCCTATGTTGCTGGAAGTTCCATAATGCCTACTAGAATAGGACCCCAAAAAACTAGCAACAATAAATATAAAAGGATTCTAACTCTAAAGTAGGACAAGATAAAAGATTTTGCTACCAAGATTACTCCTCCTTAACAATTTAAGACCACAAATAAAGCAAAACCCAGAGACAGAATATGAACAAAACTAATACCACAGACAACAACTACACCCTGAGCCCACAACAGATGCAAAGTACCAATGACTGATAAGAACCAATGTACACAAAGTGACCAGCAATATACTAATTTAGAGTTACCATAAAAAGAGTCTAAACTGATAGAATATGACATGAAGTGGACATAAGAATACCATAAAAAGGAGTCAACAACTAACTGCGGGGGCACTTGCTTCAAACCAAAGGCCTTCTCGATTTTTGTGGATCTTACCTGCCTTAGGCTTCCAAAAGCCTATTGCTTTAGTTTAGCATATTGGTAGATATTCAACAAGAAATAACACAGACACCGAAACAGAGATCAGAAGTGACGAAAGGGGAAACTTATCAGCTATGAAAAAGAATTATTAGACCAAGAAAATTAACTTTTCTAAAGCATTTGCAGGGCTTCCCTGACCTAAAAAAGCATTGAACGAACAGGGTTTCTCCAAAGCTCAACACTTTTTACTTTCTCACAGACAAGTGACAACTGTTCCACTCATGATTATTCCTTCAGCAAAGTCTCATACTGGAACAACTTTTGGACCATACTATGAGAAAACAACCAACTTACCTTGATACAATGTTGGCCGAGTGAAAAAGATCCCCATGCCTAAGTTCAGCAATTACTCTCAGCCGACTGCTTGAAGAAAAAACAGGAAGCAAAAAGTTAAAGATTAAAAGCAATTTGAAGTTGGTAAATTTTCTGCTGAATTGAGGGTTAAGCACATACCTGTACCGTGTGAAGGTGGTCAGTACAGACTGAAAATCTGAAAGACCAGCACTATAGCCTTCTCTGTGTAGGACATTAGTATCCCTTTCCTCCGGGACACATGGTTGGTTCACCAACTGACGTCGTTTTTGCAGGTAACATTCTTGTAGGTCATTGAACTGCAGCAGAAGATGAAAATAAGATAATTCACACTGATATACCTCTAAATAACTTAAGCAGTTCAGAGAAACTTGGCCCCCATGATAAGGATCTAAGCTATGCTCAAATCCCTCGCATCACTCAGGACTATAGATACTGTGCACTAAGGAAACTATAAAATCAGGACCGAGAAGATCCCAAGTGATATGTAAATAGTCAGTATGTAAACAAGGAGGAAAGCCAGGTGATAGGTTAGGGTTTTGGCTGGACACTATTATGGCCAAGAATTCAAGTTCACCTCCAGCGATAATACGCAATATTCAAGCCCAACACATATACGACAAAAATCAATCCATGAACAAGTATTTGCCAATGAGCCCTTGTGATGAACACTAACCTGAGCATGGACACGCTTTTTCCGTACTACAGCCAGACCAGACTGACTCAAATGCTGCGAACTTAATCCAGTAAAACCATCCTTTTTCTGGGGTCCAATGGAGCTAACTTGAGCTTTTCCATCCAACTTCTTGTACTGAAAATTCCCAGAAGCCATTCCTCCAAACGCATTACGAGAACTGGAGATGAGGCCGCTGCTGGTCTTATTTATTGATGAAATCCGAGATTTATTCGCCGAAGGATCATCTGCAAGCATCCGCAGTTTCACTGAATACCTGTCTCTTGCTCGATATAGCTCTATTCTATGTCTTTCCACAGCATTCACGTCCTCTTTAACATACTGAAGATCATTTTGTATCTACAAAAAGTAGCAAAAACCCTTCAAAGAAATTATCAATCTATGCTGCTGTTTTTTATCTCTCAGGCTAAATCTAATCGAGCACTAGCACTGCAGCAAAAGGACACTGGTAGTATAAATTATCGGGTGCCACCTGGATGTTGTGGATAATCCATAACTGACTTGAAGGAAAAGAGGACACTACTAGTATAACACTAGAATGTCTCACAAGTAAACATTCGGGGATACAATGATCTGAGGCAAAAATGTACTCGACATCAAGTGGTCAATGTTTTCTAAGGGGACATCAAGTAGTGTCTCCAATCAACAATGAAAAATTTGCACCAGATACAAATGAAAAATGACTTAGCCATGGTCATGAGGTCCAATTCCAAGGTGCAAACCTCGTTAAGCTCATCAGCTTTTTGTTTCCTTAAGCAATGCAAGAAGTCCAACAAAATTTGCATATTTCTTTCAGCTTTTTCTTGCTCCAATTTCCTCTTTTTCTCTGCAAGCAGCGAAAGTAGCATATCCAGTTCTTTTACCAACACCTCACAACCCTGTCTACGGATCACAAGTGTCACATTTTAAAGTTTTTAGACTAACAGATAAACTGCGATAGAGTAAATTGAATGAGGGAGTGAATGCATGCTCGAATGCATTTGAACAATATTGTGAAACACAAACACCATATTAACAAAGGAGGATAACTGGTAAGTACATTCAATTTTTCTTTGTTATTTTCTCAAACACATGAATCCTCAAGACATCACTAGCACTAAACTCTCGACAAAGCTAACCATGATTTGCAATGGTGGCCAAGAAGCAAATCAAAATAAGACTTCATACTCAATAGACTAAATGCTGGAAAATACCTAGAAAGCCTAGTTCTACAAATTTAACCAGATGCAGTTCAAAAAAAAAAAACAGATGCATTGCAAGGTCTGGGTTGTTTGATCTAAATGTTCTCTGTAATTGTTCTGTCCCTCCAAATAATTGGCCAACCATTGTTTCTATGAATGATTACCAAAACTCTACATTGGACAGGCATTAAAAGAAGCAAGTAGGGGATCAAATACACTCATATTACTGGCAAAATGACATCAGAATGACCTGAATGAACCTTTGGACAGCCAAGTCCACTGTCTGGGAGAGGAACAAGGAATTTCAAAACTGAAGTAGGCAATCAAAGAATATTCACTTATTCAGACCTTAAATCAATTACCCCTAAACTGATGAGATACAGAACGAAGAAAATGGCTGTGAAGTTCAGAAAGCATGATGGATGGGTACACTCAAAACTGCACAATCCCACCTCACTTTACCATTACAGATAGGGTAACAATGCAGCAAGAAATTTGATACAAAACATGGGAAAAAGAAGAAGGGAAACCAAGCTACTATGCGGCTTAATTGGAGGGAGAGCTACAAATCAAGTCTCGGTTCCAAGTTTGATTTAATGAGTTTTTATTCATTTTCATTTTTTTTTTTGGGTGTCTGTCTTTGTGTGTGTGGGTGAGGGGTTCAATTTGCAGTTGGCCTTATTTGATTTACATTTTAGAAATTAAGAATATTATGGAAGTTGCAAGATGTGCCCCACATTGACTGCAGTCATGGCAAATTTTTGGATCAAGTTATGTCATCGAGGTGGCTTTATGTGGTCTGTTTATGAAACTAAGAAGTCCTAGCTCAGTCCTCATTAGAATTACAAGAAGAAATTTGTTCAATCCAATAGAGAGAGTTGAGCCTTTGAAAATATCTCAGAAAGATATTAATTGACATGATCCCTCAATTTATTTCTTGGAACTTTGTCACTCTGGGACTTTAAATATCCTCTAGGTAAGTTTGCATCACACGTGACATGAAACATCGAGTAAGGATGCCGTAAGAAGAACGAAAACGTCCTAGACAATGTAGGCCCACCATTTGGCAGCTTGACACCCAACAGTTAGGTTTATCCTCTCGTTCTGACACAAATACTGCATTTTGGTTTTGCTGCACCTCATATTTGGCATTGCATGGTACTGAGATGAAACATGTTTGGCAGTGACAGAATAAGCTAGACAAGGACTGGCTATGATGCTATGCAGGTGTGGACCCAAAAATCAAAACAAACTGATGAGTGATGACACTCAAAACCAGGTTAATGAGCAGATAGAAAATGCCATGGACAAACATAATGTTCTAAGAAACTGATAATTATCACTAAAGACTTAGACAATAAGGTGATGCTAACTCTGCTAGCCAAATGATCAAGAAGAAACCAAGGTCCAACTGATGATAAACCCCAGATTTCACAACACATTTAGAGGCCTGACACCCACAGCTTGGCAGATTTTTTAAATGCTTGGATAACAACCAATAGGGACATAAAATAACAATTATGTATAACTATGAGTTGATATGGATCAACAAAATTACTAATTAGGGTTTATAATCAGTGGCATAAACTATGAGAAGAAACTGTCATTAAAATTTTCTAAATCAAACTGACCTGTTCCAACGCCTGACGAAATTGTTCTACAGGGGAGGCAGTTTTTGATATTTGGCGAGCAGAAGTCTTCTTCAATAGCTACAAATGTGGTACAGAGAAACCTTATATCGATAAGCTGCATGTTCAAGTATATCATTTCAAGATGCAAACCATATGGAAATCAGACAATCAGAGATACGACAAACTAGACAAAAAATTATAAATCCCCTCTTTAACAGTCAGCAGCTAATATCCAACCAAAGATACCAATAAAAGTAACAAGGAATGCTAATCTTCGAGCTAATAAGATAAAGCTCAATCACAGGGTAGGTAAACTCTCTGCATCACAAATGAGCATGCTCCCCCTCAGAAAACCTCAGGATTTCACTTGTAGCACATACTAACTAAAGAGAAACATATTCAAAAATCGATCCCCTCCGCCAGAAACACCTTTATCCCCATCCAGTGTCATCCACACACTGACACAAGTGAAAAAGGGGCATTGTACTTGCTAATTAGATCCAATTTACAGATAAATACCTGACATACAGTATCATAGCACATTATAAATGTAATGTAAATCAAAATCCAAGCTCTCCCTTATAAAATTACAGTGTTATACTTGACAACTCTGTCTTTAAAAACATAAAAAATTTAATTTTTCCGTCGACCAGTTTATGTTGTTTTGGTATTTCTTTCATTCATTTTACAAACTCATCGCAAGCACCAAATACCTCTTTTCCTGCATGTTCTTTCCTTTTTTTTATTTTGCTTAATTATCATAGTAAGCACATGAATTAGTCTGAACTAGTACTGGATGTTCAGGTCCTGTTTTGAACGCAACATATATATATTTATATCCAAATTCCAATTCGCTCATGTGCATAATTTTTAAGCTATCTTTTTTAGAACAATGTAAGTCAATCGAATGTTCCATCGAAATGAAGCAAGAAACGAACCTTATCGAGGAGTAAATTAGGGAAGAGCTGGTTGGTGGTGAGGTAGTGACCACAGCAAGGGCAATCGTTCTTGTTGTGGAGGTGAGTGACAATGCACATGTAACAGAAGCTGTGTCCACATGCTGTGAGGAACGCGTCTTTGATGATCTGCATACAAATCGGACACAACAACTCCTTCTCCAGCTCCGACCCCGAAACTCCACCGTCGATCGGTTCCCCGGCCGCCTCCGACGGAGCAGCAGCGTCGGATGATGTTCCCATCTCCGCCTTCGCCAACGGCACCACTGCCCCCGTGGAGCTCTCATCCATCCCCCCCTCTCTCTCTCTCTCTCTCTCTCTCTCTCTCGATATGTGTGTGTATTTGTATATACTTATCTCTCTCTAGATTGTGCTCAGAAGGTAAAGTGTGCGTTTGAAGTGGAGGAGGTTGAGAGAGAGAGAGATGGATATGGTCGTGGTCCTGTGGAGGAGGAAAGGAACGTAAGGGCCCACCAGTTATCGTTTCCGAGGTCGGTGACGGCCCACGTTACCTCTGGTTGGTTGTGGGCCGTTTCTGCCGGTTATGGGTTTATATGAACCGGGTTAGTGGGTATATTTGCCAAACTCCGTTTGGATGAAAGTTTTCGGATGATTCCTTTTTTTGTCGTTTTCTGTTTGGGTGGGAAAAACCCAAAAAGGGTCCAATACGTTCAAGAAATAAGAAAATTTGAAATTAACCACGATTCCGTGTAATCTGCAATTTTTTTTTTTTAACAATAAAAAAATGTCGGAACTAACTTATATGCATTAATACAAAAATTTTATCTTATTTATTATTATAATTTTGAGAGAGTATGATAATTTCACATAATGAAGGATTAAGAGTATATAAAAAATTATGATTAATTGCACTAGAGATCTTTGAAATATAAAATTTGTCTCATTTTTGTTCCCAATATTTTAATTGCATCCCTAAAATATTGAATATATTTTTATATGGTCCTTCAAATAGACAGTGTCTAGATTGCTAACTATTTTTTATCATAAACTTGTCACATGATACTTAAATATTGATAAAAAAAATAATTTAGATAACTTTTGACTAATTTTTACTCAAATTTTGGTTAAATACCTACCTAAGTTATAAAGTTTTGATCACGAGCTGCTCAAATTTTAGTTAAAAACTACTCATATTACACATTTTTTTGTCAATAGTTACCAAAATTTTGCTTAAGAGCTATCAAAATTATTTTTGTCTATTTGCAGCCATTACGTAATAAGTTTATGACAAAAAATTGTTAGCAATCTGCAAATTTCTGCTTAAATGACTATAGAAAAATATATTCAATATTTTCATTGATCAAAATGATACAGTTGGAACATTAGAGAGTAAAGTGCATTCAAATCTCATACCTTAGGGATATTTAGTACAATTAACCCAAAAAATTATTAGTTGATTTTCACACCACTAAAATAGGAAAGTGGAGGTAGTTAAAGTGTTATAAATTGATTGGATCAAATATTTTTAATTAATTAAATTAAAATTATGAGAATTTAGTGTTTGGAGATGGGGTCTTCTCTTCTATAATGTGTTTATAATAATATATAATGTAACTCAAGAGTAGTGCAATCATATAAGCTTTGCCATAACGTTTAGTTGGTACTTTTAATATAGAATGTTAGATCGTAATCCAACGGTCATTAGACAAAAATGTTTAAAATTAATCATCAAGACTTCCAAAATTTAAGTTTTAACTAAATAGGAAATGTCAATCACATATTACTTGTGATCCTAGTCCTAATCCCGTAAAGATAATTAAATATTTTGACTCTTATTATACATTGACAATTAGGTAAAATCAATAAATTTGATGATTTTTTATCTCATATTTATAGTATAAAATAGGGTAGGCTCATTTGACAGTCTCAAATAAACTTATTAAAAGACCATCAATATCCTTCTCAAAACTATTCATGTTGAACCGTCCATTTTAGCACGAGTTACCCTAGTATATTTATGTTACCCATCTAATTTATTTTACCCATTTGGGTTAAAAATGATAAAAATACTTGTGACCAATATTAATGACCCGCTATCGTTAAATATAAAACACTAATTGTTCCAATGTATAAACTTTAGAAGTCATTGATTTCCAATAACATAAATTTTAAGTTCAGTAATATTACATATTTGTCTTTTTTTTTTTAATAGGTGCAATAAAATATATCACTAAGAAGATTATTGATTATTCATTTGTTAATTACATGAGCAATTTCAATTTGATTATAGTTTTAATACACAAAATGTACAACAAAATAGTTCCACATTATAGATTTTTTTGGATTCAATTATTTTGCCATTAAAATTGTCATTCTTTAAGTATAAATGGGTTCTTTTAAAAAAAAAATTATAAATGGGTTGATTAGAATAAAAGATTGGGTTTTAAGCGGCCGGTACTTTTTTTAGAAATTATAGGACAAAAAGTACTACTTTTTAAAATATTGGTCAAAAATTACACAACCTCTAACAAATCTCTAAAATACCCTATTCAATAGAATGGAAACCGATTCCTATATTTTTATTTCTACAACCGAAACTTAAAGGATCTCAACAGTTACACATAAATTCCTTTAATATCGTCAGAAACTCCATTTTTCTAAAAATTTCCATAAAATCTCTTTTTGGATGTTCAAAACTTTCTGTTAATCGCTGCTAAAGAAAGGATCTTTTCAAAACTTCACTATTCAAATCTTTACTTTTGTAGCAGAAGGATGGAGAAAGATAAGAGTGGTTATAAATTTTTTTAGTAACGAATAACTAACTCAATCACACGATCTTGAATATGGATTGGAATTCGATTCATTAACATCTCTTGGTTACATTAAAGGACAAAGTGGTTTCAGTAAATGGTCCATCTGGGCGAGAATAATTTAAATAAGGGTTTGAATGGGAGTGGTTGTAGTAAAAGAATGAGAGTGGTTAAATTTTTTGGAAAAGAAATTGATAACTCAAGAAAAATGTTGTTTCTCCTAACGTTTTTATTTTTTTTCTCTCAATTACCTTTCTACTTCTAATGCTTGGTACTACATACACACCAAGTGTTTGATCATTTGACAAAACAAAAAACAAAGAGGCTATATACATTGTGATATGGGTCATGTCAATATATGCAGCGTGACATTGATTTATAGCAGTGTGAATTTGGTTTGTAACAGTATGACATTTTTAAATACAATTGTAATATTGTCTTGTAGCATTGTGATATTATCGTGCGAAGCAGCAAATCATCATCTGAATTAAAATCATCATCTTAATTATTACGATCATCCTCATTTGAGTCATCATCATTGACATTATTCTCACATGAACGTGATTGACATTAAGAGACCGTAACGGTTTTTTTTTTTAAAAAAAAAACATATAGACGACTTTGTAGCAGTGTAAATTTGATTTGTAGCAGTGTGACATTTTATAATATCATTGTGACATTGTCTTATAGTACTGTAACATTATCGTGCGAGACAACAAATCATCATCTGAATCAAAATCATCATCTTGATTATCACGATTTATAAAAAAAATAAAATTATACAAATATGGAAAAAACATGAATGTTTGAATAAAAATGAATATTTGAATAACTTAAATTGAATGAAATAGAAATATATAATTTAAAATTCAAAAATAATATTCCATAAATTTAAGAAACTAAATCACTAATATAACTGTCATATTTGTCTTCCACTAATTAAGGAAGAGGGTAATTTCGTAAGAGAAAAAATTACAACTCAGCAAAAGTGTACCTCTTCACCAAACATTTACACATAAATATATTTATACACAAATATTTTATATTAAAATACTTTTACACAAATAAGTATGATAAAGTATACATTTTCACAATTTCCCCTAAAAGGTTTAAAAGTTAAAACATGTATTCATTAATTTAAAAAGAATTAATTTGACAAAGGTTAAATAGACTTTCCTTATAAGACTAAGACCATAATTAATATGTGATTAACATTTCTTATTTGTTGAACAACTAATTTTGGTCAGTCTTAATAATTAATTTTGAGAATATTTGTTTAGTGACCATTAGATTGCGATCTAACGGTCTATGTAAGAACTACCCATCATACAGAGTTTTTATGATTGCACTATTCTGTAAATCAAAATAAAAATATTATAATTTATAGCCTTATTATCTCGTAAGTTGGCCTTACAACTTACAAAGTTTTGCATAAAATCTAAAAAAAAATTATGAACTTGCTTTTTAGAACTTTTGAAAACTATCACCACCTGCTTGATCTTTTGTCTTTTTTATAAGTGTACAGCTGATTGGTGCTAGTATTCATCGAGATTTTAAAAGAAAGGGTAATCAATCTGACATCTAACTTCGGGAATGAACAACAACATGGCGAGACACTCATTCTCATAGCTTGTGGTGTGTAATGGTAGATTGACTTACCATCAACTGTCACGAGGGGTGGAGCCAAAAATTCTTCGTAACGGGAGCAACGATTAACAACGATGGGATGATCATCATCAATACTCGTTGCACCTTACAAATAAAGTATTAATATGCTTTTTAATGATAAGATTTTGATCGAATTTAAATTGATCTGAATTCGATTTGAGAACTTAACCCATCAATCTAACTATTCAATTAACAACTCATATCTAATCCTTTACAAAAAAATCAATCTTATTTAAATAAGTAAACCAGAGGTGAATTTTAATAAATTACAATTTAATTTCAACACAACATCGTTAAATAATCACTTAATTTTTTTTTTGGTTAACTTTTTTAATGGGGGCCAAATCTTAAATAATTTTAAAATTTTCAAAATTTTATATAAAACCCAACAAAATTTAAAATTGGAGTGGGGCTAGTTGCCCTCACTACCCCCCCCACCCTAAATCCACCACTGATTATTATCATCCTCATCACACCAAATTGAAAGAAGATCTGAAATAATTTCGTATACTAATTTGGAGTGAGCAATAGTAATCTTAGATTGGACTTTTGAAATCCAATCTTGGATTAAGACGAAGACATACTATTGATACACCAACATCCAAGTTGAACATTTTCAGCTCATAGACGTGTGCTTGTAGAACCAATTGAAGCCTTGAAGGTGAAAATCTCAATAATACAATTCTTATTGTACGATAGTATTAAATTGAACTTCACCATCTAAAGTTTCGTCTTTGAATTTCTTTTCTACAATCACTTTCTATTTAGCTACCCATCTAAAGTCTCTTTAATGTCTTCGCAATTTTCCAAAAATTTCATTGTTATCTACTTAATTTGATTTATAATTGCGGTCATGAAAGTAACAACAATAGCAAAATTAGTATCGTCTCAATTTAATCATATTGTTCTCTGGGTAACTTTGTCCCCAAGTCATACAGCTCAAAACCGTTGTGACAGAATCGCTCTCTCTCTCTCTCTCTCTCTCTGATCAGGCCACTGGAAAGAGAAAACGCCTGTTTGTTGCAGCTCCACTACCCTGTCAATACTGAAGACTTTGGTTACATATACAGCGGGCCACAGTAAAAAGACATCCTTTTCCCTTTTAGTTTTGACAAATTATAAATTAGAGGAATCTCACTTTGTGCCTCAAAAGATTTAAGTTTTCTCACTTTATACACTCAAAGATGAAATTTATTACACTGTACTTTTAATTTATTAAAAGTATTATAGTGTAGTCTTTCCATTACCTACTGTTGGTTATTTCATCAAAATTCACCCCGTTGAAGTTGAAAAAATAAGTAACAAAAGCTGACGGAATGACTAATTGTAACATTTTTAATACATCGAGGGTACACAATAAAAAATTTAATCTTTAAAGGTATAAAATATGAATTCTTAAATTTTGAGGGTACAAAGTGTAATTTTCCCTTATTTAGAGTGGTAGTGAAAACAAATCCGGATCCACCGCTTGTCTATTGGGTCAATTACAATGGATCTTACCACCCTATCAATTGGGGCAGTCCTAATGAGCCTAACTCTGCATTTACCCAACCAACACTGGTTAAAAAACCCATTGGTCCAATTGCCCTCAGCTCTGCTAGCACGGTATACAGTGTACCGCGCAACATGGCAGCTATTGTTCAACTAATGCGATCGTAGCCATTTACTTAATAGCACCTGTTTTTGATAACTTACACCTCGCGTGGATGAATTATTTTTGGTCAAATCGAAGATGAGATTAGTTGAAATATGTGTACACTGGTTCAAATATTTTTGACAATTGAAAAAAAAGAGAAGCAACTCTAGAACCCAAATAGATCGTTCAAGTGATAATAGAAATAAATTATAAATTTAAATATTTTTAGTTTGAATTTAGATAATTTTTTAGGGTCACACCATTAGGATTTTATTCGTCACGAATATCTTAGTCTCAATGTAAATGATTGATTTTTGATTGAACTGAAACAAAATTTAGTCAAAATGTATATAAATTAATCCAAATATTCCCGTCAAAACAAAAAAAAAAAANTCAAAACCGTTGTGACAGAATCGCTCTCTCTCTCTCTCTCTCTCTCTGATCAGGCCACTGGAAAGAGAAAACGCCTGTTTGTTGCAGCTCCACTACCCTGTCAATACTGAAGACTTTGGTTACATATACAGCGGGCCACAGTAAAAAGACATCCTTTTCCCTTTTAGTTTTGACAAATTATAAATTAGAGGAATCTCACTTTGTGCCTCAAAAGATTTAAGTTTTCTCACTTTATACACTCAAAGATGAAATTTATTACACTGTACTTTTAATTTATTAAAAGTATTATAGTGTAGTCTTTCCATTACCTACTGTTGGTTATTTCATCAAAATTCACCCCGTTGAAGTTGAAAAAATAAGTAACAAAAGCTGACGGAATGACTAATTGTAACATTTTTAATACATCGAGGGTACACAATAAAAAATTTAATCTTTAAAGGTATAAAATATGAATTCTTAAATTTTGAGGGTACAAAGTGTAATTTTCCCTTATTTAGAGTGGTAGTGAAAACAAATCCGGATCCACCGCTTGTCTATTGGGTCAATTACAATGGATCTTACCACCCTATCAATTGGGGCAGTCCTAATGAGCCTAACTCTGCATTTACCCAACCAACACTGGTTAAAAAACCCATTGGTCCAATTGCCCTCAGCTCTGCTAGCACGGTATACAGTGTACCGCGCAACATGGCAGCTATTGTTCAACTAATGCGATCGTAGCCATTTACTTAATAGCACCTGTTTTTGATAACTTACACCTCGCGTGGATGAATTATTTTTGGTCAAATCGAAGATGAGATTAGTTGAAATATGTGTACACTGGTTCAAATATTTTTGACAATTGAAAAAAAAGAGAAGCAACTCTAGAACCCAAATAGATCGTTCAAGTGATAATAGAAATAAATTATAAATTTAAATATTTTTAGTTTGAATTTAGATAATTTTTTAGGGTCACACCATTAGGATTTTATTCGTCACGAATATCTTAGTCTCAATGTAAATGATTGATTTTTGATTGAACTGAAACAAAATTTAGTCAAAATGTATATAAATTAATCCAAATATTCCCGTCAAAACAAAAAAAAAAAACAGAAAAAAGAAAAGAAGAGGCAACCCTAGAGTATTCGTTATTGGATTTAGGTCGACTGGTTTGCAAAGCCCCATCCCCTATCTGAAGATTCACAAAATTTAATCACCGCCACATCGTAACTCATTGTTCCGCGAAGTAAGCTATGTTACCCCAAAAGTATTATTGCGGAATGTTAGAAATAGAAACATTGAAAATTTCCTAGTATAAAACAGACGCTTTTTTCCCTCCATCATCTCTCCAAAGTTAGAGTAGACATTGAAGAGGCACACACATTCAGAGAGAGGGAGAGAAAGAGTTTCAGAAACCCTAACGAATTAGTGCCATCGCAAGGTGAGATTGAACTTAATTTTGATTTTCTTCACTTGTTTTGTCTAGCTATATTGATTCTTTTACTGAGAATCTTCACATTTTCCCTATTTGTGTGTATAATCATATATGTGTGTATTGGGATGGTCATCGAGTTTCTGATATTGTTCTTGCTTTTATTTGTATTAATCCTTGTGCCTTTTCTCTAAATCGCTTCAACTTTGAACTAATTTCTGAAGCTCCAATCTGCTTTCTCGGGGCTTGTCGCTGTTAGTGTCTTTGGTTTTGTTTATTGTGTTTTTGGATTTCTTAGCTAATGCTGGTTAGCTGCTGAAGATTTTCCTAACTGTTTTTCTCTTTTTCTTCCTCTCCTTTGTGAGTTTTTAACCTTTAGTAACTTCATCCGTTTTTTGTCTTTATTTGCTCTTCTCTGTCTCTCTCTCTCCGTGTCTTTCTCTCACTTGGGGGGGTGGGGGGTTGTTAATGTACATGTTTAACTGGACGTTTTCTTGTTCTTCGTAGTAATGATTCTTTGTGCGTGCGGTTGTGTAAGAATACACACACACACACACAATATTGTGTGTGCTAATTTGTGTATACGTTGTTCCATGGGTTTTATGTGGGTTTATGGAAGATGCTAGAATATGGTATAGAGTGGGATTAGGCATAAATTTCACTGCATTTTTCTTGTGATTTTGATGTCATGGGTTTGTTTTGGTGGATATGAGTCCATTGCTGTTGCTATTTTGTCATGTACTGCTGACTAAAATCAAAGTCTTCCTATGCGTTACTCTGGTGTCAGTTGTGTGCTTCAAATTCTCAAGCTTATCCTGAAGTGCCATTATGCTTCACAGTGGCTCGACATTCATTACACGTGTTTTGTAATTTATCTGGTCAGTGTCTCTGTTGTGTGTGGAATTTAGTTCATTCAGCATGTTATATTGCATTAATTTAATTGTTATTAAGTTATGAGTGGATGGTCTCTGTTGTTAACTCATACTCAAAGTGCTCCTTTGTCTAGTCATATATGCTGTGGTACTGTTCACTTGCCTGTTTAATGTTTCTTTAGTTTTAAATACTTGAATGTCTTTGCATAAGCTTGTTTCTGTATCACGTTATCTTAAGATCACTGTACAATTTTTAATGAATTGATGGTATCATGGTAAGCTTAGCTGGAATGAATTTTATGAAACTAGAATTACGTGTCCGTGTTTGTTTGTGCATGTCCTTGGTTCCTGGACGGTTATGTCAGGGAGTTGGGATTTGTGACGGTATTTTAGTTTTAGCTGCTTATCATTACAGGTGTTGATGTATGTAATTTTGTCATAATTATTTTGGTTGGAAAGAACTTATTTCAGGGAATAACTACCCTTCTTCCCTTATTGAGGAAGGATTAAAGAGGGATTTTCTATGTATTTTATATCGATATAAAAGGTATGTTTGTTTGCGCAATACTAGGTTAGAATCCTTCTGAACTTAGTTGATTAATTTGTTTCCTAACCTTATAAGGAGATGTGAGTGTGATTGAAGGACATATCTAGAGGTTCTAACTTTGAGTTGTCCCTCTTGTTGAAGAAGGAATTGTTGGTAGTTAGTGTTTGCACACATCAGTGAAATGTATTCAGGAATTTTTCGGTGGTGAATTTTTGGTTGTATTTTCTACAGCTAAGTAGTTTTATTGATATAGGCTGGTTTTACAGATGCTGCAAAGATTTTAGGGAATCTGATAAATTTCTCATCAGCCTAGAACCTATTTTAAGACTGTGCCTTTGGTCTCTTTTGGCTACATTAACTGTAATTGGTGACGGAAAACATGATGCTTATTGGTTTTTTGTTTTGTCCAATTCTTTTAGGTCATTTGTTCAGGTAAAAAATGGAGAAATCTAGTAAGGAGGAGGAAGGTGAGTCCCCTCCTTTGCCCCCACCGCCACCAGTTGTATCACAAAATGTGAAAACTGAACAAGTGGACCAGCCAAAGCGTTCAATAATAAGTAGGCGTGGGTTTGGGACTGCTGGGAAACGCATTACTTTGCTGACAAACCACTTCAAAGTTGCTGTCAAATCTCCTGATGAAATATTCTACCAGTATAGTGTATGATTACAACACATGTCTTTAATTTTTTGGAGTCCATATACTGTAGAATGAAACTTGTTGGGCTATGCTATGTACAGGTTTCTATTAGTTCTGAAGATAAGAGAGCTGTGGACGGCAAGGGCATTGGCAGAAAAATCATTGACAAACTTTACCAAACGTACTCTTCTGAACTTGCTGGGAACAGATTTGCATATGATGGAGATAAGACTCTGTATACAGTAGGGCCTCTTCCACAGAATAATTTTGAGTTCACGGTGGTTCTTGAGGACTCTTTTGCAAAGCAGTATGTCCTTCCTTCATATTTTTCTAGTCCTTAAGTCTGTTGCATATCTTCCAAGACTTATGGTACATTCTTCCTTGCTGGCAGTGGGAGTCCTCCTCACAATGGGAGCCCCGGTGAGTATGGTAAAAGGTCAAAGCGTTCTTTCCAGTCAAAAGCTTTTACCGTTGAGATCAGCTATGCTGCTAAAATACCTCTGAAGTCCATTTCTCTTTCTCTCCAAGGAGCTGATCCGGATAATGTTCAGGATGCACTAAGGGTGCTTGATGTTATTTTAAGACAGCAAGCAGCTAATAGGTATTCGGAAATTTCTCCTTTCAAGTTGTCTTTTGAGGTTTCTAGTTTCTACAATGCTGCTAGCTTGCATATTATGTAATTTGGATGTTGAATGCAGGGGTTGTCTTTTGGTAAGACAGTCATTCTTTCATAATGACTTAAGGAACTTCACTGATGTTGGAGGAGGTGTCACTGGCTGCCGGGGGTTCCATTCCAGCTTTCGTCCAACTCATGGTGGTTTGTCACTTAATATGGGTATAATCATTATTTTTTCTTTTGTTGGAGGTCTCACTACGCCAATGTGATTTTGTTTTCACTTTTTGGGCGTTAATTTAGCTTTGATTTCTTTGGGCAGATGTTTCTACAACTATGATCCTGACGCCTGGACCTGTTATTGATTTTCTGCTAGCTAACCAAAATGCACGTGAACCCCGTTACATTGACTGGGCAAAGGTAAGTTAACTGTTTAATTGCACACTGGATCTCATTTTTGTTCTTAGTTGGTGTATATAGGTAATATTTTGTGTCATGTGCAGGCTAAAAGAATGCTAAAAAACATGAGGATTAAGACAAGGCACATAAACAGAGAGTTCAAGATCATAGGTTTGAGTGAAAAGCCTTGCAATCAGCAATTGTAAGTGCTTGTTTATTCCATAGAATTTATACTTTTCGTTGTATTCTGCCTGAAACACTTATTTGTTTTACTTTTTCCTATCAAGTTTTCCATTGAAAGTGAAAAACAGTGAAGGTGCCTATGATGAAGGACAGACTACGGAGATTACGGTGTACGAGTATTTCACCAAACATCGGAACATTGAACTTACTTTTTCCGCATATATGCCTTGCCTTGATGTTGGTAAACCGAAACGACCAAACTATCTACCACTGGAGGTGTGCACAATCCCCTTACTAGAATTTCTGGGTTGGCGCAATTTTCTTTATTTATAAGACCTCTCTATCCTTCTCTAGAAAAGATGCTGACGATGTTTCTTTCCTATACTCTAGCTTTGTTCGTTGGTGTCTCTTCAGCGTTACACAAAGGCATTATCTTCAGTCCAGAGAACATCTTTGGTTGAAAAGTGTAGGCAAAAGCCTCAGGAGAGAATGAGAGTTGTAACTGATGTAAATCTTCTTCCACCTTAAGGCTTGCTCTTGTAGTTTGTAATATTGCATTTTATTGATTATTTAGTTTGGCAGGCTATGAAGAACTACCGTTATGATGATGATCCCTTCCTTGTTGCTTGCGGCATTTCAATTGAGAAACAACTCACAGAAGTGGATGGTCGGGTCCTAGAGGCACCCAAGGTAGAGGTTGACTTTTTTGACGTAATTTAATAGTCTTTCTTACAATATAGACACGACTACAAAGAACAATCAGATACGTATTGGGTATGCTCTTAAAATCGAGTATTCTTTTGATCTGCAGTTGAAAGTTGGTAATAGTGAAGATTGCTTCCCACGTAATGGACGATGGAACTTCAACAACAAGGTAATGCCCACACAATTTACATTATAGAGGTAGAATCTTTGACTGGGAGAGAGGAGGGAGAGAAGTAGAAATTGATGATATTTTTATCTTTCATGTTCCTTAGGTTTGAGAACTATAATATCGGCAACTGATGACTTTCTTTTACTTTTCTGAAGCATCTTTTAACCCCTATCCGTATAGAACGTTGGGCTGTTGTCAATTTCTCTGCACGCTGTGATACAAGTCATCTGTCACGGGAACTCATTAACTGTGGAAGGAACAAGGGCATTGTAGGTTACAATAAATTTTGCCTTTGTAATATGCACTTTTGCCAGTAAATCTTGTAGTTAGTTTGTGTTAATATATTGTTTATTGCATTTTCAGCATATTGAACGCCCACATACACTAATTGAGGAAGATCCACAGCATAGAAGAGCTGGCCCTGTGGTACGAGTAGATAAGATGTTTGAACAGATTACTGCGAGGCTCCCTGGTCCCCCTCAGTTTCTTCTTTGTGTCTTGCCAGAGCGGAAAAACTCTGATATATATGGTATTTTTTAGTGACAAAATGTGATTCATGTGGTATCACATATAGTTCCTATACTCATCATGTATAATATTACATCTGACAACATATGTTTGTGCAATATCGTCAAAGGACCCTGGAAGAAGAAAAGTTTGAGCGATTTTGGGATTCCCACTCAATGTATTTCTCCTTATAAAATCAATGACCAGTACTTGACAAATGTGCTTCTTAAAATCAATACCAAGGTACTTTTAGAATTAAGGGTCTAGAAGTTGTTCTGTAGTTAGTTCGTTAATTTGACTTATGCTTTTTCGGGCTTAATGTTTTTGGATTTGTCTTACAGCTTGGAGGGACTAATTCTTTGTTGGCAATAGAACACTTATCTTGTATTCCCCTGATAAAAGATACTCCAACAATGATTCTGGGGATGGATGTCTCGCATGGATCTCCTGGTCGATCAGATATCCCGTCTATTGCAGCGGTATTCTTGCTACCAATGAATTAGTTTTAGCATTGTGATAGATAACTTTTTGAAATGACTGCAAGTAGTTCTGCTGTTTTATTCACCAACACTTGCTATTTGTAGGTTGTTGGATCTCGATCTTGGCCATTGATATCAAGGTATAGGGCAGCTGTACGAACACAATCATCAAAGGTGGAGATGATTGAATCCTTGTTCAAACCTGCCGCAAATGGGAAGGATGACGGCATTATGAGGTATGTCTAGCATGATATTGTTTCTTGCTTAAGTTGCCCTAATCTGAAGTCTATCTTTAGATTTGAGTTTCAGTTATTTCGGAGCTTTAAATTCATGATTGCTGTAGAAGACTTGCTGTTGATTTTTTTTGCTCCAGGGAACTTCTTATGGATTTCTATAATTCAAGCAATGGACGCAAACCAGCTCATATCATTGTCTTCAGGTATCACCAATAGCTGCATTATAAGTTTTAGTTGTACTGATTGTCTTGGTGGTGTTGAGGTAAACTGTTTTTGGTATAGAAATGTTAATAGTAGTGCTAAATATGCCTTCACTTTTTTCTTTTTCTTTTTTTTTGGGTTGGGGGGGAGGGGGAGGGGGTGGGCTTTTCAGGGTGTGTGGAGGGGTGGGTGGGGATATATAATTGAAGAAAATTGAGGAAATTGTCAATGTTGTTTGAGGTGCATAAAGATTTAGTGTGGTAAATGGTAATTGATGCAATAGTCATCTGGGATGCTTGGTGCTAGTGATGCAATACTGTTGAAGTTACCCTGGCAATAATTGGCTGTGCATTTTTTCCTTCTGTAGTAACTATGGAGTGATGTCAGTCCCTCCTTAAGGAAAACTGACGGTGAAAAGTTTGTGATGGTGTCAAAAGAATAGTGTCAAAAGAGTTTTGAATGGTACTTGGTGCTTTTCACTCGCTCTGAACTTCTTGGTAAGACAAAATGACCTAGAAGCCTTTTGACCCTATTTGTAACTATTTCTCGTCAATTCTGCTGTTCAGATGTTCATTGTTGTATTATATTAGTCTGAATTCAGTTTAGGATAGATATTCGGCGCATATGAGTTATACCTTTTCTTCCTTATATGAGTTTTATTTTTTTCTTCCTGGTATATGTATAGTGTATATATGACTTCATCTGCCATTTATAGATTTGGTTTTCTTTGGCTTATGTAATCTTACATGTTTTTCTCTCAGGGATGGAGTGAGCGAATCCCAATTTAATCAAGTTTTGAACTACGAGCTTGATCAAATGATAAAGGTTTTATGGTTGGAATTTTCAATTTACAAGTTCTGATGTCTTGAATAACACTCTCTGTATAACCTATTTGATGACATTTGGAGTGTATTTTTAAATATATGATTGTTTTTTGGTGCCCCAAGCATTTAACTGGCAAATAGATTACAATCACCTAAATGTTGACTCTATCTGACTTTGGTCTGATGTTAATGATTAGTAATCATTTCAGATGAACATGGCTGGCACCACAAAGCTGCCCGCATTTTTTATACTAGTATTTGCAACCCATCAGTTTGTGATAGTATATGTTTTAGTGCTGCATTGTTTTCTTCTTAGGACATGTATTGTGGTTATTTGTCACCTCTAGGATCAGCTGATAGTATTAATTCTTGATGATTTGCAATTAAGAGGATCTAATTTTTCATTACTTCAGGCTTACCAGCATCTTGGTGAGGTTGACGTGCCCAAGTTCACAGTGATTGTGGCTCAGAAGAATCACCACACAAAGTTGTTTCAAGCTGGTGCAAATGAGAATGTTCCCCCAGGTCTGCCTCTATTTACTCGTTTTACATTTGTTTACTTATATCAGATGTGCTGAGGCTGTGTGTCTGTGTGTGTGTCCAGGTACTATTGTGGACACAAAAGTTGTGCATCCAAGACATTATGATTTTTACATGTGTGCCCAAGCTGGGATGATTGTAAGTTACTTCGTTCTTTTCCTTAATCTGCAATATCTAGTAAATGCNTGGGGGGGAGGGGGAGGGGGTGGGCTTTTCAGGGTGTGTGGAGGGGTGGGTGGGGATATATAATTGAAGAAAATTGAGGAAATTGTCAATGTTGTTTGAGGTGCATAAAGATTTAGTGTGGTAAATGGTAATTGATGCAATAGTCATCTGGGATGCTTGGTGCTAGTGATGCAATACTGTTGAAGTTACCCTGGCAATAATTGGCTGTGCATTTTTTCCTTCTGTAGTAACTATGGAGTGATGTCAGTCCCTCCTTAAGGAAAACTGACGGTGAAAAGTTTGTGATGGTGTCAAAAGAATAGTGTCAAAAGAGTTTTGAATGGTACTTGGTGCTTTTCACTCGCTCTGAACTTCTTGGTAAGACAAAATGACCTAGAAGCCTTTTGACCCTATTTGTAACTATTTCTCGTCAATTCTGCTGTTCAGATGTTCATTGTTGTATTATATTAGTCTGAATTCAGTTTAGGATAGATATTCGGCGCATATGAGTTATACCTTTTCTTCCTTATATGAGTTTTATTTTTTTCTTCCTGGTATATGTATAGTGTATATATGACTTCATCTGCCATTTATAGATTTGGTTTTCTTTGGCTTATGTAATCTTACATGTTTTTCTCTCAGGGATGGAGTGAGCGAATCCCAATTTAATCAAGTTTTGAACTACGAGCTTGATCAAATGATAAAGGTTTTATGGTTGGAATTTTCAATTTACAAGTTCTGATGTCTTGAATAACACTCTCTGTATAACCTATTTGATGACATTTGGAGTGTATTTTTAAATATATGATTGTTTTTTGGTGCCCCAAGCATTTAACTGGCAAATAGATTACAATCACCTAAATGTTGACTCTATCTGACTTTGGTCTGATGTTAATGATTAGTAATCATTTCAGATGAACATGGCTGGCACCACAAAGCTGCCCGCATTTTTTATACTAGTATTTGCAACCCATCAGTTTGTGATAGTATATGTTTTAGTGCTGCATTGTTTTCTTCTTAGGACATGTATTGTGGTTATTTGTCACCTCTAGGATCAGCTGATAGTATTAATTCTTGATGATTTGCAATTAAGAGGATCTAATTTTTCATTACTTCAGGCTTACCAGCATCTTGGTGAGGTTGACGTGCCCAAGTTCACAGTGATTGTGGCTCAGAAGAATCACCACACAAAGTTGTTTCAAGCTGGTGCAAATGAGAATGTTCCCCCAGGTCTGCCTCTATTTACTCGTTTTACATTTGTTTACTTATATCAGATGTGCTGAGGCTGTGTGTCTGTGTGTGTGTCCAGGTACTATTGTGGACACAAAAGTTGTGCATCCAAGACATTATGATTTTTACATGTGTGCCCAAGCTGGGATGATTGTAAGTTACTTCGTTCTTTTCCTTAATCTGCAATATCTAGTAAATGCATCTTGGTACAATTTCTTTTTTCCACTTCTGCTCTGTTGGTGGAATTGCTGCACGGCAGATACCTGAAGATGTAGTAGGTGTTGCATAGTTTTAGGCCTATCCAATGTTTGGGCGTCTATCTTTTTTATGGCATACCAAGAAGGAAAGATGTTTTAAAATGATTTTTTCAAGGAAAAAAAAAAAGGAAAGTTAGCTTAAAGAATTACAACAGTTGTCTAAGCTCAGTTAGTTCAGTTCTCTGTTTTCTCAAACTAGTTCCCCCTCCCCCCTCTCTTCCTCGTTATCCAAAAACCAAAGCGGAGGCTGGAAATTTTTTGATCATATTAGGAAACTGTTAAATGCCAACCCCTTAAGTTATTTCTTGGAAATGCATAGGTTGTTCTAATTTCATTGGTGTGGTTCTTGTTGTTTGCCAATTAGCTAATCATAAAGCGTTCACACAATATTTCTTTACCCTAGGTAGAATTGGTGAAATTTTTTTTTATTCTTCCTTTCTTAGGCCTCTTTCCTTCAATTTATAATTTAATTGTCAGGGAACTTCTCGCCCAGCCCACTATCACGTCTTGCTGGATGAGATGGGTTTCTCTCCTGATGACCTGCAGAATCTCATTCATTCACTGTCTTATGTGTAAGTTTCTGGCTTCCAATTTCTCTCAACTTTTACTGAAGTGTTAACCTTCTGAAATGACATTAGACTTCTTTTTTGTCTTTTTCAGGTACCAACGGAGTACAACTGCAATTTCAATTGGTATTTTCATGCAAATTTACTAAATGTTGCATTCTTTTCTTAATGTTTTTCTAAGAAAAAAAAGGTTAGCAATTACTGTGATTAATATACAACTACTTCTACCTCTCACTGTTTTCCTTTCTCCAGTTGCACCTGTATGCTATGCCCACCTTGCAGCCCAACAAATGGGGCAATTTTTGAAGTTTGAGGATTTCTCAGAAACCTCTTCTGGACAGAAAAGTCTCACATCAGTAGGGACAGCCCTTGTTCCTGACCTGCCCAAATTGCATGAGAACGTCGAGAGCTCGATGTTCTTTTGTTGAGGTGATATTCTCCTAGGCATAAATACCAATCATTTGATTAGTTCTGCAACTTCGTACATAATTTGGTGGTATAGGACACAAGCGACCCCAAGTTTTTATTGTAAGTGGGGTATAGAAGAGGGTAATTATTCAAAAAAGAACTACTTTTGGAATAGTTCTTGAAATTTTTGGACTTTGATAGGTAGCTGATGGAGCTAGTATTTTTGACTTAATGACTGCTATAGTAGGCCGCACTTTAGTATTCCTATACATTTATCGATTAGGTGTTATTTATTCGAAATTGCTACCTTTTCTAGAAATTGCTGTTTACATTCTTTGCACTGGGAGATCTCAAGTGATCTAGTATTGGCCTTTGTACTTTCAAATTCTCTCCCATAAGTCTTCACATTGTAAACGCTTGCGTTATTGCTCTTATTTCTTGTTTCTATATCTCCTTATTCTATGAAACTTTGGCCTCTATTGCCATCTAGCCTATATGAAGGATTACAGGATTACAGGGCCAGTTTATAGTAGAAAAAAGTCATATGAACACTGGTGGAGAGAGTCGATTCCCTGCAGTACAGTTCATAAATTTTTTTATGCTAAAAGTTTCTCTCTTTTTCTATTTTTCCTCCAATGTGGATTGCTCATAATTGGATTTTCCATCCGTCAAATATTTTTATTTTCCCGCATAATTTGTAACACTTGACTCTTTCCTTTTACTAAGATGTCATATCTATAATTGACCCATTCTGCTATGCAACCCCACATCTGTAAATTTTCTTATTCCATGTCTATATTTGACACATTCTGCTATGTAACCCCACATCTATAAATTTTCTTATTTGTAATACTTGGTCTTTGTGAAGTCTAGTTATAGTTTAGTTTGCGTGTAAACCTTGGTATAGCGGTAAGATTGTTGCTTATATTTAACCTTTCATAAATTTTATAACTATAAAAGTCTCGTGGGTTGTGTCATCTTTGATTGAAGTTTAGTTCATGCAAATGTTTAGATTTTTGTTGATCATCCAGAAGGTTTAGGCTCAAAGTTCATAATTTAGGAAAAAAAATGCAATGACATGATAGTGTGAACACTTGACCATTTCTTTTCAACTAGAGAGATGAGGAAAGACTAGAGAATGACTTGACCTATAGATTCCAAAAATGAAAATAGCTTTAACTTCTTATACCAACCATCAACTACCTACGTTAGTGTTAAAGTAATAAAGAGTTTACATGGTCAAGGTCCTCATTAATAGGAAGTTTGACTTTGGGAAAAAGAAAACAAGAATTTCCAAACACTTCAATTGTTGGATTACGCAAGATTTTAGTCATAATTTCTACAGATTGTTAGAAATTGCATGAAATGTCACAGGTTATAATCTTGTCGTTTCTTTTCTTTCTTTGTGGCTAACCAAAAAAAAAAAGGTCTTAATATCACTTGAAAGGGCGAATGAAGGACGAAAGTAACTGCCATGTGGAATATTTATGTTGGATGCCCATTGAATTTAATTGGTGCATTTTCTCAAATGTTTGTGGAATAATTAACACAATGCAAAACATTATCACACAAATCTTAAATGATTAGTCACCCATAACCAAACCAAATGTGACCAATGGCCCCATGGCTGCGTCTAACTCTAAAGTATTATTCAGCTTTCTACGAAGAACTCTCTGGTGATCACCGATTCTTTGAAGGCGAATTGATAAGTTCTGATTTTATAAAATTGTAACTTGATATATTTCTTCTGACTTGATTGAATTAAAATTTTTAATGCAGTGTTAAAACTTTTTTTAGTTGCAAGCAAAAATAAAAAAAGTAGCCACGTTTTACCCCGCCATTGGGTGGACCTTTGACAAAATATTTCAACGGGACCCACAACATTTTCATTCTTGGAGTGTGAGAATATGGTTGGAGGATTCTTGGGTCAAGAAATCACAGAGCTGGATGTGCTCAAAAGATGAAAGTTTTGGGACATTTGGAAGTACTTTTTCTTGTAGTGTTCAAAGAGTTTACAGTTTTTGGGGGATCTCATTCTTTGGGGCCTATTGGAAACTCTGCAATTTTAGTATACTACATTGTTACTACTTTGTCTGCCAAGCAAGAACTCAGTCTGGAACTTGTACCCATTTTGATGAATCTCTGGGTCCTAGAAGATATGAGTGATCGAATCCTAAAGTGCATCTAAGAAGCAAAATAGAGAATAAAAAAGATTACGAAACAATAATTTATTCTTCAATTTTATACCGGAAAATCACAACTCAAACAAATCAAATAACTTTTATGAACCCCATTGTTATGTGGGTTTGTTCTAAAAGTTTCAACTCAAATAAGTTATGTTAACTTTTTCATTGATTCTTTTTTGATATTCTAGTTGTCTTAGTGAATCCATTAGATTAATATTAATTTATTTTTTTGTTTTTTTAGTTACAAGTTATTCAGACTTGTATCGAATTAATGCTAGATTTTGTGCAAAGTTATCTTTGGACGCAAAAAAGTCAATTTGAGGGTCATGACTTATACTTTGTTAAAGTTTTGAGAAAATACTTTGGGTTAACTAAATTTTTTTATTAAATGATCAAGTCATCAAATTACCATGGTTATTATTATTATTATTTAGTTCAACGGTAAGAGGTGTCAAAGTTAGCTTACACACACCACCTCCACTAATCTCCTTCTCGGCCTGATTAAAAACAGATCATACACGTTTGAATTAAGATATTCATAAGAGATAAATCTTTTATGGCTATCCAAAGAATTGTCAATATTCGAACGCAGAATGTTTAAATTTACAGTACGTCTCTATTACCACTTAATTTACCCATTGCTTAATAAGTGGTATTATGGTAAACTATTAATGAAATTATATAAGATCAATGTTATTTTTTTAACTACAACTGGATTAAAATGTGGAAGACAGGGAGTGTTTGGACAAATATGACTTTCCTTCCAACCACGATTAATTTCATTCCAAAGAGGAATAAGTTTGGAAATATAATTTTGTATTCCCATAAAGAATAGAATAATATTGGTATTTTACTCATTAATTTGCTAATGTAATTTTTATTTGTGGTGTAGGGTGTCTTCCTATTACAATGCTTGAAAAGTATGGAATTTTCCTATCAGAATCATAATTTTTTTAAAAAATATAGAGGTTTTTATTGTAGTGTATTGCTAAAAATAAATTGTTTATAAGAGCCAATTTATGCATGGTATTTCTTTTTCTTATTTGATAACATTTATTATTTATCTTCATTCACAATTAAATTATGACTTAATTAAAAATAATTATCACGCTTATATTTTAACTATAGTAAATTTATCATTTACATTTTAACTCCCTACTTACGTTTTAATCATAATAAAAATTTTAATTATATTTTATATTTTAACTATTTATTTATACTTAACCATGTTAAAAGAAATTATGCATTACACTTATATTTTAACCACAATAAAAAAAAAAAGTCGGAATTACTATTAATATTTTTTACTTGCCAGAATACCAAAATGATTTTATCAAATGAATTGACTGGTTGTTGTTACTCTTTAATGGGTTGGGGGTACTTCGGTAATTTCACAGAAGCAGCGTCGGAATCTCCACAAGTGGTAGGACCAAAGAAAATATGGGTCCCTTGTTCTCACGTAGTGGGACCCAGTAATATGGGCCCAAAAATTCTCACGAAGTCCGAGAGACTCGTTTCCTTTCTTCTTCTCTTGCATTGCAGTGGGTCCCAAAACCTAGAACCTCTTTAAAAAGCCAGTTTAATATGTTCTACGTTGGGACCCACTGTGAAAGCCCTCATCGAACGGCCCATATCGCATTTACCCTTCTCCACGCCACCTGTTTCTCACGTTTTTGACGGCCAAGATTTTTTTATAATTATTAAATACAAAAACATGCCGAATTATTAAAATATTTTCTCATTTTCGCGCCCGATTTTCTATCAAACAGTGTTTTTTTATTAATTAACCTGTGAAAAGACAAAACCACCCTCCAACTCCCCAACAAACCCCTCCTACATTAAAGAATATTTTGGTCTTTTCAACCAGACAAGTTATTTTATTATTCGTACACGAGTGAGGCAAAATTAAATTAATTTTAAACCATTAAATATAGTAAATTTCTGGTTTCAGACTCAGGAGATCTAAGAGAGAGAGGGAGAGAGAGAGAGAGAGAGGGAGGGAGAGAGAGAGAGAGAGAGGGAGAGAGATTATGGAAATTATTTAATTGGAGTAATCTGTTGGGTAGATTTCACAAATTGATCGATCATAAACTTGTGCTGATTCTCTCTCTATCTCTCCCTTTCTTTGCCTTGTTTCTAGTCTTTATTTTGTTTCTCTCTCATCTCTCTTCGCAACCCCGCTGATCAGAAAACGAAAACTCGGTTTGGTTTGGTAAAATTTTAAAGCTTTTTAACTTGAACATGCTGTGGATTTGATTGATCTTCCTGACTCGTTTGTTTCTTTGTTTACAGAGAGAGACTTTGTAGTGATTGAGCTCGGAGTTTGTCCATTAACGCACACTTAAAAACATTATTATTACTGTTTTGTGATCGGGGAGGTAGATTCATTGTATCGAACACCGATATCGATGCCTGATAATCGGCAGGTTCAGAGCAATGGTGGCATGTCCAATTCCTCCAATACTTCTGTTGACAACATTGGAGGTAATTTTTTTTTTATCCTTTCACTGGATGAAGATGAAGATCGCTTTGTATCTAGTCTTATAGTGATTATTCTATCATTATTTTTTTCTTTTTTTTTTTTTAAATCAAGTTTCTATTTGTTGCCAGGAATTTGACTATAAGAATTGTGATTTTGATGTGATATATTGGAATATTTTTCTATCTGGCTATATAAATCTTTCTTGTCGACATGATTTTCAATTGGGTATTGTAGAAGCTATTAGGAGGTTGAAAATTAAGCGCAATGATACTATGGGTGATGGTGAAGTGGGTCAATCGAGCCCGTATCCCGATCGTCCTGGGGAGCTTGATTGCCCATATTATTTAAGGACTGGGATGTGTGGTTATGGAAGCAAGTGCCGATACAATCATCCACCTAATGCTGCACCGGTATTTTAAGAATTTTATGTTCGAAGTATTTTTGTTTTCAGCCTGTTGCTGATCTTCAGAGAAGAGCAGTGTGCTTTAAAGTTGAATATTTAAGTGGTTTAATATATATAATCCATGTGTTTATCTTTAGGTGCAGGGTGGTCAGTATGGAGGTGAATTGCCGGAAAGAATTGGACAACCTGACTGTGGGGTAATTTTCTTTTTTTTTTTTGTTTTTTTAGAAATTGGGATTGTTCTATTATGAGTAATCTGTCATTTTGCTGGTATGATTGAGGCAGTAGGGTAATTTACATGGTGGAACAGAGGGGAATGTCGTTTGGTTTCTAGTTTGTTCAATGTTTTTCAAAAATTTATATGCAATTATTAGTATGCCTAAATGGTTAAAGATATTTCCTATTTGATTACTTATTTAAATGTTAGGTTAAAGGTATTTCCAATTAGATTTGTGGACACATTAGATTCGTATATAATCCCATAGGGGCATCCTTGGAGAATTTGAATGGAAATTTTATTAGGAATGATTTTGATGCCTTCTCTTGGCAGAAAGTTGGTTAATGAAGTAGTTTGAAAGGTACTAAGGTAGTATTGGCAAGTCCATTCTATCCTAGGCCCTCTTGATCATTGCTTTCATCTATATTTTCCTCGTTATGTTTAGCTGCAATTATTTTCCACTATAGAAGTTCTTTTTTGGTGATTAGTGTTGGCACTGCTTTCTCATTTGACTATCTTATGACATAACCACATGGATGTTACTTTTTTTACATAGACAAGATATAATTCTGCTTTAGCATTGGTGTATAATTTCCATCCCATCACTCTTGGTCTTTTGGTAATTTCATGTGGATTTTATATGACAAATGACCATGTTACATTTGGAATTTGTAAAATTTACTGGACAGAAATTGCAATGCTAGTCCATCTGTGTTAGTCCTGTTCAATATCCATCTGTACATACTACGTGCTTTATCTTCTATTCTTAATTTCTCCTTTGCATTCCTTATAATTTTGCTTTGTGAAGCTAATTCAAGCTTCTGTGAAATGTGTCTGCATTGATTGGTTCTAAGCTTCTTTGCTCAGTCACTTTATTGCAAAGCATGTGCAGCATTGTATCAGGGCAGACTTTAAACATTTTTTAGTGGAATCAAGCACTGAAAACATATTAGCTCTACTCTACAAAATAAAACCTCATCCTTTGCAAGCAGACCATAAATATAAACATATGTTTGAGGTGAATTATGTTAAAGGTTAATGACTATTTTGTGTTGTATGTCTTGAGAGTTGTTTTGCATTGTGGCAAATAATGTTTAAAACACGTGGAAGCTCCTCACTGTTGGTAACATTAATTTGAGAAGTTTTCTTGGCAAGTGAAGTAGTAAACTTTGTGGTTCTGGTGCAGTATTTTCTGAAGACAGGTACCTGTAAGTACGGCTCAACATGTAAATATCATCATCCGCGGGATAGGCGTGGTGTTGTACCAGTCTATGTGAACATGTGGGGGCTACCAATAAGACAGGTGTCTATTTCTCTTCCGATATTGGTCCTTTCTGCATTATGCTAGCAATGCATCTCTTGCAAATTATTGGCTTGTTTCCTGTTGATGCATTAAGTAAGGCTATGACTAAAACTCTAGCATTTTTATGTGACTATTGCAGGAAGAAAAATCGTGTCCTTATTACATGCGAACTGGATTATGTAAATTTGGAGTCGCATGCAAGTTCAATCATCCTCAGCCAGCATCCACTGGAGCTGTCTTACCTTTTCCAGGACCTGCCACTTATACTACTTATGGATCCACAGGTTCCTCAGTATTGCCTTCATCTGCTCTTCCGTTTGTAGGTGCACTTCCAGCAGGATCATTACCAAGTTCAGGATATTCGTCTGGCCCTCGCCTACAAGGTCCCTCGTACTTGCCTGTTACCTTTTCTCCTTCACAGGGCACTTTGCCTACACAAGGCTGGAACACATACATGGTTAGTAAATGAATTTTTTATGTTCATTTCTGCTCTAGTCCCTCGTTCTGAACTTCTGTTGCTATTTAAAAACTTTTTGTTTCATCATCCATTGTTTGAGGTTAAGAGCTTTTTAGTGTGGTTTGATTTCCCTTTTTCATTTCTATCGAGATGAATCTTGCTGACTTTGCCCACAAGTGATGTTGACCTTAAGAGCTGCTGGGAATTTCCTTTCTCACACACTTGCATGTTCCTCCTGAAAAAATCTAGAGTATTTTTTTAAAACAATATTGTAGTGTTTTTCTCTTTGCCCCTGGAGATGCTATGCGCTAATGACGAGTTTTTGTCTTGGACCGGATTGTAGTGCACTTGGATTTCTTAATACTCACCGAATTTAACTTTGTTCTAATCACTCCATTATTGGGTTCTTCTGATGCTGTAAACAACTAGTGTAACTGTGTTCAATCTTTTCATCGTGATTCCTCTCTTAACTTCTTTTAAGGGCATTTTTGTAGAAGCCTATGACAAATCTCAAGTGTACTGTATTGATTACGACATTACAGATATATTTGGTATCTTTCCTCTATATACTTGTGTTTATTTAACGGGCATCATGCACTATCAAAGTTTCTTTCTGACCCTCCTCTACAATCGTTCATTGTCTGTCTCTTTGTTATCTGAACTGGTGAACAGTTTAGCATGCAGATATACTTCACTCTATGTTATTAAATCATCCAATATTTGGTTTAACTAACTTGTATGCTCATTTCCATCAACTCGCAATAGTTGAAGCTTTGTTAGAAGTGCCAATGATGCTATTTTGAGAAATATTGTTGAAACAAACATCAAAAGGCTTACAAGGTTTGAGTGGTTAAAAATTGTGCTCATATTATATGACCAATTGGCCCCTTGTACTTGAGGTTTCGTATATTCGAAGAATTAAATTCATAACAGTACTTTCTTAAACACGTCAGAGTCGGGATTTCCACCATAGGGTAGACATTCATTAGTGTTCTCTCTCTCTCTCTCTCATTTCATTTTCTGAAGGTAGCAACTACTTGAAGGCATTCATATTGGTTTTTACTTGCCTAAAATTCTATTTGCCTTCATCTGCTCATGGCAATCAGCATAGCATTCTTCTGTAGACTTACCTTCTTGTCATGTGCATTGGCAGCACTTGCAGCTCTTTTTTTTAAAGTGGTATGTTGAAGAATAATCAAGGCCTCTGTGAGTCTAATGAAGTACGGATACTTCGTCAAGGTGTATCCGTATTGAATACGATACTCATCGGATACTTGAAAATACATATCGTATATGCATCATATGTATTTGATAATTGATAAATTATGTGGATATTTCTACACATGAAACAAAATTTATAATTTATAATTTTAATTTATACTTTCTTTTTAAGTTCACATACACTACAAAACATCAACAAATTCCATTTGATTTTGAAGACACGAGTATTTTCTAAGTATATCTACTATTATATGTCAAAAAAATATAAAAAAATGAGTTTGTTACGCTTTAATTTTATAAACAAATACTTGTAAACAAATCAACTAGTTAAATATTGGTTTTAATTCCTTTAATTGTTCACGTTCACTTTATGGATATATCATAATGAGTTGATATTACATCATTTTCAAGATAAAAATTGAAAATTTTGCTAACTATTGTTAAATTATTATTAAAAATTATAATTTTTAAGCCGTTAAATAATAGTAAAATATAAAATACTAGTTATTGCCTGTGTCTAAAGGCACAGAATAATAAAAAATGTTTAACAATAAACATATTTGTATTCATATCCAAAATCAAATTACAAACATAGAGAAGAGATAAAAATATTTAAGCATCGGTTTGTAGCGGGGGCGAGAGATGGTGGGCAACAATGGTGGTGGTAGGAGACGGTGATGGTTGTGGTGGGTGGCAATGATCGTCGTGGTGGTGGTGGTGAGGCGGTTTCAAATACTATTTTTTTTAAGTATTTATAAAAAATAATTTTTAAAAGTAATTTTAAAAAGTCAATCCAAACACACATTTAAGGGTCAATTATTCCTATTAAATTTAGAGTGTTAATATTAGCCGTTAGATTAACTTTAAAATAAAATTTAAAGCGATCTCAACCGCAAATAACAAAAGTCATTTTGTTTATCTTTTGAGATTTGAATTGTAAACTACTTTATTATATAAAATATGTTTTATTATAGACGTATCCTATCCGTGTCCGTATCTTATTTTTTCAGGTTTTTTTGTATCGCCATATCCGTATTTGTATCCGTGCTTCCTAGTTGTCAGTTCATTACACTGGAGATCTTTTTAAGCTAAGATCCACTGGGGTGTGAAGTTCTGGGCTACATCAATTTGGTGACACTCTCATTTTCACCATATTCTCTCCAAATTCACAAGCTCTATTATTTGTATGTTGCTTACACGGTTACACCTGATTTTCTTATGAGTGATGCTCATCACAAGTCCTAGGATATAAATTTGAACATGTAGTTCATTGATGGCATGTTCACTGGTTCGGTTAGTTTATTTTAATAGCGAAGGATAGACTCAGGTAATTGCTCTAAAACTGCTATGATTTTGCTTCCTATTTATATTTTGGTTTCTATTATGTTTGTATCTCACAGACCACGCCATTAGCAAGCTCTGGCTTGAAAGCAAGTAGCAATGGATTGAGCTGCGCAAAATACCTTGCTCCTTGGGAATTCGTTTTCTTGCTGGGCCTTTAGACTTGACTAATAATAAGATAGGAAGGGTTTTTGTTGCCTGTTTGAGACCATATAAAACTTTCTTCAATCGGCAAACAAGGGAGTCGGATAGGTCTTTAAGAGATAGGGATAGGGGCATGCCTGACTCTTTAGAAAGTATACTAGTGTCGAAAAAGTCTGGGGACAATGATAGAGGAATGGGACCTCTAAACTGCCATACTAAAGAAGTTCGCAAGGAAGGGACATGCCAAATCATTTGAATAAGGCTACATTGATTTGATTTGAGCTTCTGCATTTCTAATCCATGGTTTTCCATGTCAATCAGGGTAGCGTAGGCCCTGTATCCACTACCACTGTTCTTGCTGAGTCAGGCCCTAGCGGGCAGGTGCATCTCTTATCAACATCAGTTTCTCATCTACCTGACAGGCCTGACCAGCCAGAATGCCGGCACTTCATGAGCACTGGAAGCTGTAGATATGGATCTGATTGCAAATACCATCACCCAAGAGAGAAGTTTGCTCAATTGGCATCAAATTCCTTAGGTCCATTTGGGCTTCCCTTGAGACCTGTAAGTTATATTATTTCTAAGGATGGATTTTCATCTGGAAAATTTGCAGTCGAATAATTTGTCAGAAAGAGTTCTATACTATAGCATATGCTGTGTCCTATGATTTTGGTCTGAATGAGTTTGGAGTAGTTTTCAAATTAGGATAAATATTTGCTACTGCATGAGCTTGTTCATTGTCATAAAATATGATCGCATGCTTGTAAATATTTAATCTTTCTACGGAGTTCTTACTCCATGCCATCTTAAATGCAGGGGCAACCTGTATGTCCCCACTACCATCTTTATGGACTTTGCAAGTATGGCCCAACTTGCAAATTTGATCATCCCTCGACAGGATATTCATATGGCTATAATTGGAACCTGTCTACTGTACCTGTTGTTGATCCATCTAGTTTCTCATATCAGAGAAATCCAGCATTCCAGCCATTTGATACGGCTCCCTCTAAATCGTCAAAGGTTGCTGAGTGGATTCGAAAATCTGATGCTGCAAGCAAAGAATATCGGAACCCGGACACTACTACTTCTGAAGATTCACCAGAACATACTGGTTCTCCAACAAATTCCTTGCCAAATTCTGAACTTCCACATGACCAGTCTGATTGAGTCATTTTCTTATGCTTCCTTTTTCTACGTTTCATTTTGTTGTGTAGTTCCTGTCAAATGAGTAGCCTGTGACTTGTGCCTCCTGTTCTCCCCCACCCTTTTTGACTGGGATTCTTTGGAATGGGATAGGTTGTTTGGAGGTCCCATGCCACGAGTAAAAGTTGGGGGTTTGGCAGACTTTTTTTGTTGAATAAAATGCAGGTGGATATATTATAGAGTACCTTTATTATTGTTTCGTTTTTTTCCAGATGATATTTGTTTTCTTTGTGAGTTTGCGGTGAGTGATTCAGGTTGAATGTTCTTCGTATATGACACGAAGACCATTAGTAGCTGTCTGAATAGGCGCCGTTCTTTAGGGGAATCTTAGCTGCCTCTAGAGCTAAACTCGGAGGAGTTGAAGGTGGTGGATCATGTCCTAGGTACAAACTTCGTGGCGTGTAGTTTGCTTTCCTTTTGCTTCTTTGGGTACAAGATTCGTGTGTCTATCTTGCCAATGTGCTGCTTTTACTAGGCTATTTGTATCTTGATTTTTCTACATGCCAGTGGCAGACATGGTTTGAAGCTTTTGTCTTTTGGTTAAGGTAGACTCTCAAAATGGGAGTGTTATTATAATAATCATTTCTGAAGTTTCTGATGGTGGGCTTTGGCACAATGGTGAGGTTGTTTTATTGTGATTTGGAGGTCATGGGTTCTGAGTGTCGTGGAAATATTCTATTTATTTGTAGAAGTAAGATTGTGTATATTTTGACTGGAGTTTTATTTACCGGGTGCGCTATTATTTTTAAAGTCTCTTTTGCTATAGACAGAAGCATCCTGGTGAGCAAATTTACTTTTGTGACCTACGTGGGTAAGAGAGTAGGATAGGGTCGACGTGTAGGGTTCCTTTGCTGTTCAGCCCCTTTTTTTCGGTTAAGTGATACGAAGTCATTTTGGGAGCAGCACACTGCTGTATTGTACAGCATCTATGCTCTAGGGTAGTGGTTGAGCCTAAAATATATATATTTTTAGGAATATTTAATGTTTTGACACTTGAAATTCAAAATTTGCAAAAGAAGTGCTACGTGACAAGATTGAAGAAATGTGAGAGATGATTAGTCACAATCACATTTGAAAAGGAGGTAATCGACTGGAAGTTAACATTAGATAATCATCGATAGAAAAGAAATCCTCGATGAAGATGGTTATAAAAAGACATTTAATAGAGAAGATAACACGTTCAAATCTCTGAAAAAATCCACGATCTAGACATTATTAGTAGTAGTTTTAGGCTAATTTAGAAGCAGTTAGTATTGTAGTTAATTATGTTTTATTCAGTTTTTTATAACCAAAGTTCTTTCAATTGAATTAATAAAATAATTATTTTTTATTAGTTCTTTGTTTTAATTTTGCCTTTGCATAGTGAGAATCTTTATCATTTTCATTCAAGGAAGTTCTGAAATAAGACATTTAAATCCATTTCAAACAATCGCCAAAAAATTATATATCGATTATGACATTTCTGTTGATTCTAACAAATTTTGGAGCACCAGAACTGCTATGAAAACATATCAATGAATAAAATTAATTGGTGTTTGTTGTGGGTATCTAAGTGTCGTTTGGCATCCAAGTATGATGGAGAGAATTTGATTGTGAAGAGGGTAAAAGTGGTAAACTCACACCAGATTGAAAACATCTGGGCGCCATTGTCCGAAATTGCTTTTGAAGATGGTTTTAACCCGAGTAATGATATGTATTTTAAATTTGTAATTCAAAATTACATCTCAAATGAAAGAGGATCATTAGATCAGTGAGTTTCATTTAAAAAAATTAATAGGATCCACTGATTCAATGGTCCTCTTTGATTTATGACATAAATTTGAGTTATAAATTTAAGATACATAACACTACTATTTTAGCCCATAGTACATCGAACCATGTGACTGGACATTGGACCATGTGAATATACATCTAGATATTTGGATATGACGTTAAAGTTAGTCAAAATTAAACAAAATTATTAATAATTTGAAGAACAAGTCGGATTAAGCGCATGTTTAATTAGTTTCATTACAAAACAAAAAAAAAAACTTGTTTAATTAAAGTTTTTACAAAAGTGACTTAAATTCGTTTGAAGATATAAATAATTTATTTATAGACAGACATGTTTATATTATTGTAAATGTGATTAAAATTAGAGGAATAGAATACAAAAACAAATACTAACTGAGGTACTTCTTCTTTTGAACTTAAAAGCGTTATGCAACATATCTAAAATGTCTAATTATATAGCAATTAAAAAAAGATTTTGATTTTTTTTTCATGATATAAAAATCAATATAGTTATTTATTTTATATTAAAACTATTGGTAACCAATTCGATGATTTAATGCATTTTTACAATGGATAAATAGTAAACCTCATTAAATATTAAGATGTATATTGTTAATTCATCAATAATAACACATTAAGTATTCAAATTAAATTTCAATGGCATTGTTCTTTATTTTTATTAGATTTGTGGTTGAAATATAAATTTTAAAACGTGTAATTAAGAATTGAGTTTTAAATCTCAAATAAGATTGCTATCTATTTTATTAGATTTGTGGCTAAAAATAAACTCTGAAGCGCGTAATTAAGAATTGAGCAATTCAAAACTCGATTATCATCATGGGATTTTTTGATATTGAGACAACAATCGTCAAAATCTTCTTATCAATTATCATGTAGTATATTACATTAATTTTTAGTTGTTAAAATACATTGTTCTTGCAAAATAAATTAGTTGTACAAACAAATAATTAATTTTAATGACAAAGTTTGCCATTTAACAATTACTATGTCCCTAGCATATTAACAAAACAAAATTAAGGTATCGGATCCCCAAATAATCGAGATAAAATTTTATTCAATTGAGTTGAGCTGCTCTTAGGAAGAGGTGCTAAACCATCTCGGTTTGAATTCGAGTAACTGCATGCCACCTTCGAGAAGAGTTACGAAAGATCATATAACGAATTCAGTTCCTAATTTTCATTTCTTAGTTAATGTTTAAGAGATTCAAGATTTTTATAATATTTTTAAGGGTAAAAAAATATATAAACCCCCTAAATTTTGATAATATTATACGAACATTTCTTGAATTTTGATAATATTAATTAAAGGTATATAGTGGTATTTTAAAAATAAAAAAAATATCGATAAAATATGAATAAAATTTACCCAAAATTTATCCCTCACACTTTTTCCTCCTTTCCGCCAAACTTTCTCCTGTTTTATGCACTAGCCATGCTATTTTATCTGTAAAACGGCGCCGCAGCACCAATGTCCTCCCAACTGGTGGCCCACTGTAACGCGGCGCATCTGCACAGTTGTATCGGACGCCTTACTTGGCCTTTAGTAAGTAGGCCCCTCAGTATTAATGCTTTGGGGATAAATCACCGACGACATTTATTAATAAGGGGATTAAATTGGGTGGTAATTGTTTTTTTTTGGAACTTAATTGCGTAGTAATTGACACGCGTAGTTTTCCAAACAAACATCAACAGCCGGTAGGTGTGATGAGAGAGAGAGAGAGAGAGAGAGGCATTGGTATTGACATTCCATTATATAATCCGCATGACATAGTATTTCCCCAAATACTAATATCCCATTACGCGTGGGCCCTTTTTTTTCATGGTTTTGGATTTTTAATTGTCGCTGTTTGGGAGTTTAATTTGGACGGATTAACTTGAATTTAACCCAAGTTTAATCTAAAAAAAATAAGTCTTGAGTTAGAATTTTTAATACTTAAATTGGGCCTAGGCCAAAAAATTCCACCTCAAATTAAATTTGGGCAAACCTCGAGTTAAGATCTGGAGTTTGTCGAGTTCAATCTAAATATTAAAATCTGGTTGAACACGAATATACATAAATATATAAATATATTTAACTAGGGTCAGTATTTATCTTTATTTTTTAGAGTTTAGACTTTAATTTCACTTCAAATCTTCACCTCTGCGCCTCCAGCACTCTCAAATCTCTCTCACTCGTCACTCGTTTCTCATCTGGTCTCAAACTCTCATTCTCCCTCTCTCACTCGTCTGAGTCTCATCTCAGACTCTTAACCTCCCTCTCTCACTCGTCACTCATATCTCTTTTACCAATCCGAATTAAGTAATTCGAGCCCAATTCGATTTTTAACTTTAATTAAGTAACTTAAATTCAATTCGAGTCTGCCCAAATTAAACTCTGGCAATACTCGAGTTGAGATCGGATTCGGGTTGGAGTTAGGGTTAGGGTTAGGATTAGTGTTGAAGATTATATACTTAGAATTGAGTTAGGGTTGACCTCTCAACCACCGGAGTTGCACCCCTATCGCTGTATCATGTCTTTATTACTTACGAATAAATTAATGTTTCAATCAATAATTAAAATTAAAATTAAAATTTATTTTATTATATTTTATAAATTTACTAGTAATAACCACATGTTTGAAAATACGCTACAGTACTAAAAATTGAACATTAATCGTGCAATATTTATATTTGAACATAAATAAAATAAGAGAGATGTAGGTATTTGAGAATTAATGATGTATGTGAGGATTAATGAGGTTGTGTTGGAATTACAAAATGTGGTAATTAAGTTGTTTGACATTAAAAATCGTGCAAAAAAATGAAGTTTGTGAGGGATTATTTTAAGATGAACTTTATATTATTGTATCAAAATAAATAAGAATTTGATCGATTTTGACCGTGATTATGCTTTTATAAGTTGAAAATTCAACTTTTTAAATGTAATATTAGATAAATACTTGAATTTGCCAAAAATCTCAGCTAATTATTATTCATTATGAATTATATATTCAATTGTATGAGTATATTTAATATTAATTGTATGATTTGTTAAAATTTAACTTTTTTTTTTTGGGAGGGGGGACTTGAACCTTTGACCTCAAGAAGATAAAGCCTTGACAAGGTAATGAGTTTTATTGGACCAAATGTCCGTTGGTATGTTAAAATTTAACTCAATTAATATATTCTCAGCAAATTTTTTGATTTTCAATTAGTTCAGATAGAGATTATAAAATTAAAATGAAAGGCACAATAAAATTTGAGTTAAATCAGATTAAAGTTTAAATCAAATAAAACTTAATTCGTTGACAAACCTCAGATTGAGTCGCCTACATTTTCCAATTTACGTGATTTCCTTATAAAATATTGTTTGTGTCAAAGATAATTTCGCACTATAAGTCTCCACTTCGTATGTGCAGTGAGGACGGTGAGGAAGTCTTGAGTACCCTGCAAGATAAGAGAATATTTAGGTGAATTGATGG